GTTGCTATCTTCATCATGTTCATCCATAATGACACTCTGGGTCGACCTTGACCTAATCAGTGACCAGGCATTAAACTAACGTAGTAATGCAGGCGTCCGTAATAAGGGCAGCATGTTGCTCCTACACCTATTGATTTCACACCTGATAAAATAGACTATGTCCGATATAGAGCTAAGATGAGACAAATATTAGGACACACTAAGTTTATGATTTACAATATATTTTGCTAACAAATTAAATATAAAAATGTGTGTGTGTAGTTCAGTATGTTTCAGAAGGTCCTTAAGTATGTTAAGTAATTTAGGTTAGTTGGATTATTGAAAAAAAACTTAGTGCTAAATAGTTTGTGGACAAGATGTTTAATATTTATTCAGTAACCATGGTAACAATTAAGTTTATTTACTTCTGTGAGAAAAGGTTTGTTCTTATAGATGATTGCAGTGGCCGCAATGGTCGAAATCAGATCTTTTACTCCAATACGATACCTCTCTGCATTAAGACCTGAAGACCTTCCATAGAAAATTGCATCAGGGGCACCCAAAGTGAACTTAAACCACCAACTCTAAAAGAAGGTTCTCTGGCTTCTAGAGCCAATCAGCTGTCAGTTCTCTAAGACTGTTTGGCTTTACTGTTTACCACCTTGATTCTGAAATAAAAACCAACACGGAACACCATATTTCTTTGATGGTACTCCCTTGGACTTTCAGAAATGACAGGATGTATGAAATATCCACAACAATATACTTTCTACTTTTGGTGGTTTTCGGGATACAGAATGCTTCACTTTATTTAGAAGCCTTGACACTGATTGGCTAATTAGGAAGTTCTCCAAGCAAGACCTAGCAGCTGTCTATGGACGTGTCCTTAGATCTTCACGCAAGTATATCGGGGTAAAAGATCTGATTTTAATGAATTTGTCATGTCCAGAGACCGTTATTCAGTTATTATATAAAAAGTTAACACTATAATAACAGTTACATTTTGTTTTGTAAATATTAATTTGATTTTTTTTACAAAAAATATGTGTATGGTTTGGCACACAAGAATAAATCTGCGGCTTTAAAGGCGGGTCTGTACACCTCAACAAGTTAGGACCCTGATATCCTTATTCATTGTGATTCATCTGATAATATTCTTAACATGCTTTCTGACTCATCTTATCTCATCAAAGATTGCAGGAAGTGATATGTTTATAAATTATCCCATATTAAAATAGCAGTGATTTATGTAAGCATGATTTGAAACAAGGGCCAATTATCATGATTATGAAAAAGTACCTAGAATTAAAAACAAAATTAAAGTTGACATCCTGCCATCTTGTCCTGCACTATGCTCACATGCGGCTGTGCTGTTAAATGAGACTATTTATACATGTTGTAAATCAATGTCATTTTAATTATTTTTGGAGATTGTCACCCTGAACCTTGAACCTGGATCTCATGTGTAGCAGTTATTAAAACGCTCTGTTGTCTGTGTGGAGACAGCACAGCAGTGTAAGTATGTCACAGTATCTGTTGTTCTGTGGCTATAATAATAGTGATCACGTGGATAAGGCCATTGTAATGTAATGATAAGATTATCATCCCTGCCCACCTCGCTGTCACATTATTTTATTGTCCCAAAGTTGGAACAGACTTATATAAAGAACATCACTATCTGTGTTCCCTTTCTTTAATCAATGAAATTTGTCATACCGTATTCACTGTATTAATCACCCTGCTGCAGTAAGCACCCCTTCTAATACAGTCCATATTTTGTTTGTATATTTTCTTTTTTAAAAGAAAACTAATATTGATTTTATTTCTTTTTTAGTTTTAACTAAATTTGTTCACTATCACTCAATCTCTGACAACAAATTTAACTCGTGTATCAGTGTTTATGGTTTATATAAGTAACCAAGGTATTTGTTATAGCAATTACGGTATATGTATTCCTGCCAAACATTTGTGCTTTATATGAAGCACATCAGCACACACACCCCGGGGGATTCCGGGTTAGAGTAGGTCCCCTGCAACCTGTGCTGGTCATTAGTAAAGAAGGGTGGGGTAGACTATAGTGGTTATAGTGTTCACTCATTATGCTAAAGACGCAGGTTTGATTCCCCACTTGGGTACAATGTGTGAAGTCCATCATTTGTGTTGTCCTCCTGCCGTGATATTGCTGGAATATTTCTAAAAACGACGTTAAACCATACCCACTCACTCATAAGAGGCATAGAAATGGATCTGTGGTCATGCTCGGTGACTAGGTTGATACCGTGTCCCCTAACCCCGATGACGTGGGTCGTTGCTCTATAACATTCACTCCATTTTCTGGTCCAGACTTACTTACATCATCTCATCATAGCTGGAATATTGCTGAGTGCAGCATTAAACAACAAACAAACAATAATGCACACATATTAATTGGTATCAAAATATATATGTATATATTTACAAATTGCCTCCTGACTCAATTTATTTTTTAAATTTTGAGGAAAGTCTAATAATTAGTTTACTGTGGCCAAATACATGTAATAATTATAATAAACAATATATACATAGTTTATTATAATGTCCTATGTACAATGCCTAATGCATCATAAACTATTTGAATATGATACCCCTGGCCACAAGTGGACGAAAAGAAACTTATTTTATTGTTTGGTGTCCCACAAGGTTAGGAGAGGTTGGGCGGCCCTGTGGTTAGAGTGTTTGCTGGCCACTCTCTAGGTCCTGGTTCTAATATCAACAGAAGATTGAACTAATTGTTGGTGTATTACATGTTAGCATCTTTAAAGGTTCAAAAACTGACTTGCATTCGGTTACAATTTCTTGTAGGGCAGTGGGGTAGCCTATTGGTTAAAGTGCTCACATGTCACATCGAAGGCCCAGGTTCAATTCCCCACATGGGCTTAAATATGTGAAGCCCATTCTGATGTCCCCCTCGTGACATTGCTGGAATATTGATAAAAGCTTTGTAAAACCATACTCACAGTGTCTAGTTGTTGCACCGATCCTCACCACTGATCATGCAGGTCGTCACTGCGGCCTCCGACAGACGTAACAGAAATGTACAGCTTTTGTATTCACAGATGTTTCTCCAAGCTCCCTACAGTGATATTGTTTCCCATAAAGAATACAGATCAATTATTTTATGCACTGTCATGGAGCCCTTTTTGTGTGTTCTTGTGTAGACTAGTGACACATGGTTGATCATGTCATGTGGAAGTGCATTCAAGACTCTCTTGTTATATTACTCTATGTCAGGATTCCCTTTATACATGCCTTATCACACTTCATGTAATACAAGCCATTTGTTATAATTTGATTTCTAGTATGTTATAGAACCAAACTGAAGGAATTCTATAGAAACTGAGCTATTTCAACTGCACCATGTCTATAAAACATGATATGATGTAAGCATTTGATAGTCATGCAAAACAGGATTTTTTGGAATTCTAAACTAAGAGACCCTGGCAGGCAATCTGGATACAAATATCATTATTTTGTTCAAAATTGCGATTTCTTTTTTTATTTCTTATTTTCTTATATCCAGAGGATGTTTAACAATGTGCTTTAAGTTTGCAAGGGAGAAAAGTTGGGAAATTAGATTTTGCCCACTGTGTAATGCTGCAACTGTCGGAGACAAATTTCGTTATCTGGTTTGGTGTAAAACCCTCAAGTCACGACTTATCTATATGCCAATTAATATATCACAAATGGCCAAATATTTGGACATTCTGCCAGTCAGTGACTCCATCAAATGGATCATCAATCAAACATCTGTCAAAATTTTCGACTTTAGACATAATTTACCTTCCTAATGTATTTCATCAAAGCACTTAATGATATCACCTTTGTAAACAAATATGTATTATATGATAAATAGAGGATATTTGATGTGTCAAAATATCTTGTTTCATATTTCACGAGACACAGTGAAAATCCTATTTACTTTTTGGGTAGTTTCTACCTGAAAATTTAAATATTTCATTATAGATGAAAAACCTTGAAACATAAATTCTCCCTACCTAACATACCGGGGCGGTTCACCACCCTTTGTAAGTGCGACTTATAAAGTAGTTCTTGAGTTTGCAAAATCTTAAGAAATGTAAACAAAAGTAACCAAAAATATTTGATGTCAATAAGATTCTTTATCATAAATTTGGATATGACTAAGCTCAAAATCAACTTCAACATAAGAAATTCTTGTCACCATGGCGCCGTAATTGTGTTGTAAGTGAAAGAATACACACTGGTCAAGTAACAAATGGTGCTTTGCAAAGGAAAAGTTTCGATTGACAAGTTAAATGAGAAATTTACAGTTTATTCTGAATCATTTTCAAGAGAATAACAAACAGAAAGAATATTAACTCCAGAAATAACCATGGATCATTATTTTGCCTTGCCAAAACACTTATGAAAAAGGGAGATAATTGGCAGGGAGGTAACTCTTGTAAGACAATAGTACCGGTCAAAGTGTTGTGTTCACTGCTGTGAAATATCAAGTGTTATGTTCACTGCAATGAAAGTATCACTTTTCTCAACTTTAGAAAACTCAGACATTCACACTGAAATATGTAATAAATATATATTTTATAATGTATGTAGAAGTCATGTGTATGGTATGTGTATGAAATGTAATTTATGCTAAATGTACCACCGATGGTGGTAGTGTCTGCGAATAAACAGAATCCAGATTCCAGAGCAATCTTATACTAAATGAGGTGTAATCACCATGATCACATGGCTTCAATTCTGTTTCAAGCTCCACCCACAGAATGCTGTTGAAATAAATGAAGGCTGTTTGTCTAGCATCAACATCCTTGAACAAACAAGTAAACCCTCCATTACCATCCCTCAGCATCAGCCAGGGAAATGTCAGCCAGGGAAATATATTGCCCATGACCACCAGCATTACATAACCCCACGTGGTTAAACACCCACCCTGCCAGGGGTTAACATGTAGACCAGGTTGATATCTAGGCTGTATACATCAACCACAGGCTGTACACAAGCTGCTAGCAGGACAGCATCACATGTTTAGGCTGCTGCCACTGTAGTATATGAATGTATGGGATATGATGCCGTAACAACCTGCCACGGTCATTATGTTGTTTTATTCTTCTCTAACCAGTTACTTAGTGGTTAATGTGTTACATACATTGTAGTTGATCATGAATATGTGATGAAATGTCAGTGTTGATTGGATCCAGTACGGAAGCTGGTATGTAATGGGAGATTATTACTGATGTGAGTACGCCTGATTAAGCTGATCAAAGTTTCCTTCATCAAATATTTCCTTATAGTTTTAACATGTTTGTTATCATTGGTTCTATCTGAGATTGCTCTAAGGGAATTTTAGTTTGTGTACTTGACTTCCTTAGTCCATGTATATTTGACTTGATTATTATCTAGTATATTTGACACTCAGGATGTTTATGAAAGTGAGGGTCATTCTCTAGATAGTGAGAGCAGGGTAGTTTTGTACAACCGGAATAGGAGATGGGGATGTGTGGAGGCTGAAATGATGCTATTGTTTTTCAAGTGGATCGCTTGAGAACATAGATTTTATTACAGCAAGTTCTAATGCCAGTGTCATGTCAGCTCTGTTGAATACAGTCTGCTCCCACTCAGGTTACCCACTTCTTGTTCATGTATTGTCTGTCACAGACCCTGTTCTGAAGGGGACACTGTGTCATGTCCTATTAACATGGCGTGTCAAAACCGACCTACTGTAGTTGTGAAAATGGAGTAACATCATTGAAATGGGATGATTGTTTTGGGAGTTTTGGTTGTGTTTTTTGTTTAGTACTCAGTCAGCAGTATTCTAGCTGTACCATGGCAGTCCGTTAACAACTGAATCTGGACCAGAAAAAAAAGTGATTGTTGTTATGAGCAACGTCCCATGCGATTGGGTACAATGACATGTAGTCAACAAGTCTTCACACATTGTACCCATGTTGAGAATCGAACCTGGGTCTTCTGCATGATGAGCGAACGCTTTAACCACAAGACTACCCGACCGCCCCTCTGACCACAGAAAAAAAATACCAAATTAGTTGCCTCTCATGACAAGCATTGGTGAAATATGGTGAAATATGGTGAACATGGTGAAGCTGAAGTTACATTATTGTTATCCCAGCGAGACGTTTGTGAACCCGTCGTGTTCCATGATGTTTTGGTATGGAAATAGTTATGCACCCATGCTTTACACAGAGAGATAAATGCTATTTACCGGTACTTGTTTCAAAGTTTACCTTTACTCCTCAAGACACCAGCTCTCAATGGAGAGAACTGTTGTATATCTTTTTTCCTATAATTACTAGAGCATGTAGACATGCCCTGTTCCAAATGGAGAGAGCTTTGTTTCAAGATATGTCTACACTTCTAGAAACACCATGTTTCCAATAGCAAGAGCTTTGTTTCAAAATATGTCTACACTTCTAGAAACACCATGTTTCCAATAGCAAGAGCTTTGTTTCAAAATATGTCTACACTTCTAGAAACACCATGTTTCAAATAGCAAGAGCTTTGTTCAAAATATGTCTACACTTTTAGGAACACCATGTTCCCAATGGAAAGAGCTTTGTTTCAAAATATGTCTATACTTCTAGGGACACCATGTTACCGATAGCGAGAGCTTTGTTTGAAAATATGCCTACTCTTCTAGGAACGCCATGTTCCCGATGGAGAGAGCTTTGTTTCAAAATATGTCTACACTTCTAGAAACACCATGTTCCCGATGGAGAGAGCTTTGATTCAAGGCTTGTCTATACTTCTAGAAACGCCATGTTCCCGATGGAGAGAGCTTTGTTTGAAAATATGTCTACACTTCTAGAAACACCATGTTCCCGATGGAGAGAGCTTTGTTTCAAAATATGTCTACACTTCTAGAAACACCATGTTCCCGATGGAGAGAGCTTTGATTCAAGGCTTGTCTATACTTCTAGAAACGCCATGTTCCCGATGGAGAGAGCTTTGTTTGAAAATATGTCTACACTTCTAGAAACACCATGTTCCCGATGGAGAGAGCTTTGTTTCAAAATATGTCTACACTTCTAGGAAAGCCATGTTCCCGATGGAGAGAGCTTTGTTTCAAGGCTTGTCTATACTTCTAGAAACGCCATGTTCCCAATGGAGAGAGCTTTGTTTGAAAATATGTCTACACTTCTAGAAACACCATGTTCCCGATGGAGAGAGCTTTGTTTCAAAATATGTCTACACTTCTAGGAAAGCCATGTTCCCGATGGAGAGAGCTTTGTTTCAAGGCTTGTCTATACTTCTAGAAACGCCATGTTCCCGATGGAGAGAGCTTTGTTTCAAGGCTTGTCTATACTTCTAGAAACACCATGTTCCCGATGGAGAGTGCTGTGACGCAGCTGCGTCCAGAGACCATCGCAAGACTGGTGGATGAGGCAGAGGAGAGGCAGTGGGCACAGCTTGGAATCCCCGGACAGGAGGAGGAGGACTCCCCATCCCCCATACATGGGTCGGCACAACTGGGAGTTGCGCTACTGAGGTAGGTGGTCTTGGCTAGGGAGGTGGTTCAGCACAACTGGGAGTGGGGCTACTGAGGTAGGTGGTCTTGGCTAGGGAGGTGGTTCAGCACAACTGGGAGTGGGGCTACTGAGGTAGGTGGTCTTGGCTAGGGAGGTGGTTCAGCTCAACTGGGAGTGGGGCTACTGAGGTGGGTGGTCTTGGCTAGGGAGGTGGTTCAGCTCAACTGGGAGTGGGGCTACTGAGGTGGGTGGTCTTGGCTAGGGAGGTGGTTCAGCTCAACTGGGAGTGGGGCTACTGAAGTGGGTGGTCATGGCTAGGGAGGTGGTTCAGCTCAACTGGGAGTGGGGCTACTGAAGTGGGTGGTCTTGGCTAGGGAGGTGGTTCAGCACAACTGGGAGTTGCGCTACTGAGGCGGGTGGTCTTGGCTAGGGAGGTGGTTCAGCTCAACTTGGAGTTGCGCTTTTGAGGTAGGTGGTCTTTGCTAGGGAGGGGGAAGAGAAGTTTGGGGAGGGGGGACTCCTGAATACCCATTGACACCAGACAGTGTTGCATTTGCAATATTAAGGACACATACCTACCAACCTACATCAACTTTTTCAAAGGTCATATGTGCATAAAAAGTGAAAAAAAAAGTTTATTGCAGCCCAAGATGAAAGTTCATTTTCCATGTTTACATGCTGACGTTTATTGTCATTTTCAGACATGGCACCTGTGTCAAGAAAATCCAATCCTATTTCAGCCATCTTGAGTAAGTTTGATTTATGGACTTGTTTTTTATTTCGTTGTCAAATCTTTTGCAGTTTGCAGTTTGCAGTTTTTTAAAACATCGCATGTTAAAAAACAATGCTGCATTGTGTTTATTTATGGTGTCATTATGAGTTTCATATGAGATTATTAAGTTTCTTATGAAATATTATTCAGTTTCATATAAGATTTATTAAATTTGTATGAGGTATTAAGTTTTTTATGAGATATTATCCAGCTTTATATAAGATATTATTCGGTTTCATATGAGATATTCTTCAGTTTCATATGAGATATGATGTGTCTTGATATTGACATGTTAGACTGATGTTATCATGTGACAGATGACTGATAATGTTTTCCACATGACAGGTCAAGGAAGTGTTGCCTGTTGCTGGCAGGGAGGAAGTCAACCTTCAGTAATGTGCGATTGGTGAGGAAAACGGTCTTTCAGTCAACAGTGAAATATGTGGGCTTTCATTGTCCAAATGTGAATGACTTACACAAATATTGTAAGGTCATTGTTACAGTGCAAATCAGGATGTAATGTAATATCATCCATGAGGTTACAAGTAAGGCAAACGCATCTGTCTGATAGTAAGTGCTGTGTGTGACACAACCATGACAACTACCCTTATTAATTTTGATTGAGTTGATTGATCAAATTTGAGTTGATCACACCAAAGAGGAGGATAATAATAACAAAACAGGGCCCCATTCCACAAAGAGATCTTAGCGCTACGACAATCATAAGCCAGTGTTAAAGCATGGGAGTTGCAGTGATCCCTCACTATAACGCTACCTTTGGGGTCCAAATAATTGATTAACGTTAGACGATCTGCACTTTTACCTAGGTGGAGTCGTAGGGAGTGGATCACCAACACAGCAGCACATGCTCTGGCCACAAGATCTCCGATGCACGTTTCAGAGTTTAAAAAAAGATTAGAACATGTAGAATAGTAGTTGTTTATGATTCATAATGTAAACAAAAGATTTGTCGAGTGTTATGTGTGTCAGTGTAAAACTTGAGTTTGTTAAAAATAAAAGTAAATTTGGGGAGCCATGCGTTACCACACGCTATAACTGAGTTAGTGCTATATTGAGGGGTGCAATAGCGAGGGAATACTGTTAGTTCGCCTGAGCGCTAAGATCACTTTGTGGTTTGGGACAAGTTCTTTGCAGCAATATACAATATATAGATGTTGTTACATCTGTCGGTGAGTGAGTGAGTTGTGTTTTACACTGCTTTTCAGAGTATTCTAGCAAATATCACGGTAGTGGTAGGGGACACCAGAAGTGGGCTTCACGTTAAGTACCCATGGGAAAAGGCTTTATTCTCTTTGAAAGGTGTTTGCAGATACCCAAAACAATATACAATGAGTGTGATCTAGTAGTAATTTGAAGTTAACAGTTACTTCTTTAACCTTTCATTGAAATAGCATTGGTCATGTTGGTAGAGTCAGTTAACCAATCACCAACAAGTCTCACCTAATTAATTATTTGTTTTTGTCCAGGTGAGGAATGATGGTCAAGACAATGGGCTGGAAGAAGGTCAGTTGTATAGGTGTAGAGGTTAACTACGAAAGTGTAGTTGTTGCATGTTATAGCATGGTCTCTTATAGTCAGTTATAGCATGTTCGTTTGATACTGATAGATAATTAAGAATATTTCACCAGTACTGTACAGCCCCTTGGTACATAGTCTGAAGAAGTCAGAACATACAGATTAATATTGATACAGGCAAATCTATCTTGAGATCTGATGTACACTTTACTTTGATAATGTCTTCAATTTGGTGGTGAATGTCAAATTTAGACATCTGGCTTTTTGTAAAATTGTATCATCATGATGGCATCAAGATGTTTATTTTCATTTTTCCCGACGTGAAATAGTGAAATACTTACAACTTCATTGGTTGATGGCTGTTTCACATTGTTGGGCAATACTATGTCCTCTGGTAAAAGTAAGACAGTTTACGTACAACGATTATTTGAATGTTTTCCTTTACGTCTGCTCATTGTAAGATACACATGAGATATACTGTAAATATTGAAATTAACGTAAATGCGAAAAATGTTAGTGGACTTCTGCTCACATTAATTAACTTCGCATTTATGTCTCCAAAATGACTATTAACAATAAGACAGCCTCACTGCACACTTTGAATAGCGGAAATAAACCACGGTTTATTGAGCAGCAGTTACATGGGACATGTATAGAACAATGTCATTCAAAGAATAGGAATTACACAGTGGGCATCCGGTGAGTTATCACTGTTGGGGTAAAGAGTTCTTCTCACTCATGTCAAGCTTGTTGATACCTTCTCCGTATACCAATCAGTGAACTGTTTTTTGTTCAATTATTTTATTGCCTTTGAACTTCCTTAATGTCAGTCAACCGAGTAAACATATAAACTGTGTGTTGTTTTTAGGAAAACACTGTTTATTGTTTATTTACGGAAGTGCTTTACTCTGTGCTTATAAGCAGTGCTATTTTCTTTTGATTGGATGAGGATAAGGATATGTATCATTCCACTGGGGATGGGGAGGGGGGAGTCACATTGGTATTGAGTCGCATTTTTGGCTAGAGGTCAGCAGTCGCATTAATTTGGAGACACACTAATTTTCAGATTTACAGTATATGAATACAAGACTTTTTTAACTTATCCTACTCCCACTACGCATGTCTTCCATCTTCTTTCAATCCTTCTGTGGAAACGTTTCCAGCTTCTAAAAACTATTCACCCGAACACATTCCAACATCACCAATACAATACCATTAGTCTCTGATTATGGTGACAAATTTCTTTAATTCATGTTCGGTCGGTACAAGAACGACATTCTGTGTCATTTGGCATGGATGACCACTGATCACAGTCAGTTTGATGATCATCATGATCATGTAAATGATAACACCCGTGAGATTCTGGGTTGGAATTGGGTCAGCAACCGATACGGGTCATGAGTGGTGACTTATTGGTCAGGTGGTCAGACTTGGCTACTTGGTTGATAGCATGTCATCATTCCCCAATAGTGTGGTCATTGCTCGTAATAATTATCACTGGATTGTCTGATCCCAACTCAATAATTTACATGTCGCGGTCATATGGTTGTAATATTGCTTAAGGCGGCATTAACAAACAATTTACAAATCAATGTTGTTAATAAGCTTAATAAGCCCAGAATTAGCAACATGTGAGAAAGATCCTGTGCATTCATTGGCTGAGTTACGATATTGGTATGCTCGTGACAGGTGCGATGAAGAGGACGATCATGTCACACACCAAGGATGTGCAGCAGCTGGACCACAAGGTGGGTGGAAGCTGACGACACATACATCAATTTATCATACCTCTGTTTACAATCATGCAGTTCTATGGGTTAATCTGCACCACGTGAAACAATACATTTCAATGTATGCCCCGAAATCATGTGGCTGACACTGACCCCGAATGTTGACTTGTCACATGATGAGTATTGACCTGTCACGTGATGAATATTGACAATAGAACATTATACAAATAATTCCCCTTGACGTAGTCAATATGCAAAAACAAGGACCCGAGGACCCGCCCCCTGGGGTGGTCAGACAGGTATCTTCATTGTGTTCCCAAACAGGCTCACAGTCTGGGGTCTTTGATAGGCATTAAGAAGTTGGAAGAACATGTATCACAGTCTGGGGTTAAACCTCCATCGTTGCTTGTTTCAGGCTTCGTTGCCTTTTGATGATTGTGCAGAAAATGATGAGGAGGATAATATGCATGATATAGGGGGCACAGGTGGCCTAGTCGTGTCAAGCATTGTAGTTCGCTATGTTGAGTGGCAGGTTCGCCAGAGACCTATGATCATGGGTTCAAATCCCAGATTCACCCTGATTATGTTTCTAGGTTTGTCAGCACCGTTACCGTGCTCGTGGGTTTCACAAAAGTGGTATCACTCTACCTACATCACTACTGGCAAGTAACTGAAATACTGTTCAAAGCGGAATTAAACCAAACTTAATTTCTCATCATAATATAACAAACTTATGCCAAAGAATATTTTATGAATATATTTATTGAAGATTTCATTATGGATTATGCAATAAATAATTTCAAAAGTAATAATTCGTTTCCAGGAATTCCGAGCTTTCAAACATGCCTACCTCTGTGCAGCATTTCCAGTTCTCGGAGCTCCAGACCCCCCCTCCCCCATCTCCCCCTCCCCAACAACACCCACTCATACCCCTCCCACTCAGATCACCTACCCCCAGTCTAGCCGGTCCGAACGCCGTCCCTCCACCCCCCAGTCCCTGCATGACAGCGGCGTAGAGGAAACAGACGAGGGAGCCATGATTCCCACCGAGACGCTGTGTGAACTGCTGCGTCGGGCGTTCCGTTTATCAGCTGAACGCTTCCACCAGTACGAAACCATGATTGCTAAGTCATATCAAAAGAAATCCCCACCGAAGGTAAGTAGACTTTTGTTATTCTTTAAGATTTTTGGGAAGTATACATGTAAAATTTGTTAAGGGTAATATTTGTAGTTTTTGTTTGTTTTAATACCACGTTCAGCAATATTCAAGCTATTTGACAGCATTCTGTTAATAGTATGGGTAGAACAGGTCTTCAGCAACCCATGTTTGCCATAAAAGCCGACTGTGCTTGTCGTAAGAGTCGACTAACGGGATCGGGTGGTCAGACTTGCTGATTTGGTTGATGCATGTCATCGTATCCCAATTGCGTAGATCAACACTCATGATGTCAGTCACTAGATTGTTTGGTCCAAACTCGATTATTTACAGACCGCCGTCATATAGCTGGATATTGCTGAGTGTGGCGTTAAACAACAAACAAAATAGTATGGACCAGACAAACCAGTAATTGATGTTATGAGCAACGATCCATGTACATGATGTAGCCAGGGTACGATGACACCCAATCCATCAAGTTACCTCTTACAACCAGCACATGTTGCTGGGAACCTGTTCTAACCGGGATTCCCCACAGGGTTGAAATAACTGGAATAGTGTTAAGACCTTGTTTAAAGCATCAGCCCACTCATCAAGTACGATCTATGGTCATTTTTCAATGCTGTTTATAAAGTAGAAAGAATTAGTGCAGTTCACTTTCATCAATTGTTGCTGCTTTCTTTGCAGGTACTTTGCTTCAAACATGCTGGATTTTATTATTTATCTTATAAGTATGTTTAACAATATTTTAGAAGTTTATTTGAAGTTTCTTGAGTAAAGTCCAGTGTGAAATGTTGCTATTCATTGTTTTTCTGTGATTACAGCTGTTAGCAGAAGAGTTAATGAGTCAGTTGACAGCCCTGGAGAACACCAGCAACACCTTCTACAGCCCTACTGCCTTTCTGGTGAGTGTTGAACTGTTCGGGTAATTGTTAAGTTTTCAAAGCCCTAGGGAAGTGGTCAAATGAAAATAATATTAAACTTGTAATACCATATTTGTTTTAGTGATCATCGTCAGTAGGGTGAAATACAAAAATACTTTACAGAGCTTAGTTTTATGACTTTTTGACCAAAACAGCCTGAAGCACACACATCACTTCCATATTGTTGTTCAGGCCATGTTGGGTTTTCTCTTTAAGATTTTCTTTTGTTGGAATTGGTGAAAACCAAGGAATACAAACAGCATGAGAACATTGTTAAGTTTCCTAGCATCTTAAAAACCACATGCAACCTTCTCTTGTCTCAGTCCCGGAATGGCTATGACATCTGGTGCCACCAGGAGATGTCCCACATCTCGGATCTGCTCAACAAGTTCTGGCACTTCTCCCTGCCCTACCCCGTTGACAGCCAGCTGCACACCAAGGACCTTGCCACTGTCCACGACGACTACGAGATACTGCTTTCTAAACTACTACTGTGAGTGCTCACGTTAGAATAGCTCACCAGCAATGTATGCTGGTCATACCATGGAGATTCCGGGTTAGAAGAGGTCCCCAGCAACGTATGCTGGTCGTACTGTGGGGATTCTGGGATAGAATAGGTTCTCAGCAATGTATGCTGGTCATACCGTGGGTTAGAATAGGACCCCAACATTATATGCTGGTCATTCCATGGGGGTTCCAGGTTAGAATAGGTTCCCAGTAATGTATGCTGGTCATACCGTGGAGAATCAGGGTTAGAATAGGACCCCAGCAACCTATGCTGGTCGTAAGAGGCGACCAAATGGATCAGGTGGTCAGGCTCGGTGATTTTGGTGTCATCGTACCCCAACAGCATGCGCATTGCTCACAACATCGATTAGCGGATTGTCTGGTCAAGTCGTAATTATCTGCAGACCGCTGTCATGTAGCTAAAATATTGCTGATTGGGGCATTAAACAACAACCAACAAAACTACTATGAGTGCAGCATGCTTCTGAGGTCTGTATTGAGAAATGCTGGAATTTATGCTTTGAAAAGTCATTATAAAGGGATAAGGTGCCCTGGAAGGAACTTTCCTAACCAATCTCAAGTTGACTAACTAAATATAAATACATCATTTCATAGTTTGAAAACAAAAGTTGAAATCAGTTCAGAACTTCAACGTTTTAGTCAGTAATCCCTGCAGTGCCAAATTTTTTGTTTGGGGGACAATCTTGCCTGTCATTTTATTTTGTCTGTTTAACGCTATTTTCGTTTTTCAAATTTAATTTTGGTCAAACATTTGCTGTTAAAGTATTAAGACCTGCAAAGTTGCTATGTTGAGTTTATGATTAGTGGGATTTTGTTTACCATGTAAAATGTGACACAATTTTAGTTGGAAAAGCCTTGAAGTTGAACACAATCATTTAATCAAAAGTTTACTCTCACTCAAACACTCAGGCACTCACTCGCTTTCTAACACTCAAACACACAAATGTTCACTCACTCACACAAACAGGACATAAGCAATACCAAGGCTCCATTCCAACACAGTAATACAGTGTATCTGTTTTCCTTGCAGCTATGAACATCAGTTTAAAGTTGGAACAGACGACACCTCCAGTCCGCTCTTCTCACTGCTGTCTTCTGCTTCAATGCGTCTACTCAGGGAATTCGGACTTCGATATGGCATCGTAAGTATTCATAGCGATAGTTTTGTCTTCACTCTCTCATTCTTGGATGCTTTCCTTCTACTTTACAGACAAATGTTTTGTACCATGAGTGAGCCATGAGGATTCCAGGTTTGGCTTTGTTCTCAGCAAACTGTACTTGCTGTATGTGGCAACTGAGGTTGTTAGTCACAGTTACTTGGTTGACATTGTACCCGACAGTGCTCATTATCGATCGAAACATTATTTACTGCCCGAATCATATACATGTAGCTGGAATGTTCCTGAATGCAGCATTAAAAAACAAACAATATGTACATGTACGAATATGTGAACATTGTATACTATGGTGCCAACGTTTTCCGTTTCACCAACTGTCTTCAGTGCTATTTCAAAGTAACAAAAAGAATTTTTATTATTACTGTAAACATAAACAAGACAGATACACTAATTTAGATATGTAAGTTGAAGTTCTTCAGAGACCCATTCACATGATTTCAATTTTCAAAAATACTTGGCACATTTAATATGATTGTTAATTTCCAACTGTATGTGGACAGAAAATGGGTACTTCCTTTAGTATACTCACCATTGCTGTAAATTACACAAGTACGTCTGTACTTCTGACTTTCTTGTCATGTTGGTAATAGTAATTACAACTTAAAACCAATATTTTGTAAATGTAGCCATCAGTTCATGGGGTGTGGACTTTGGGGTTGGGGTATGACTTAAGTCATGACTCTTGCTATGACATGCAGTGTGCATTTTTTGTACACTTCTGTACAGGCAGATTTTGGCCCAAAAAAATTGATGAATTTTGATATTGTAGTGAATTAAAATATATTTCAATTCCCAGGGAGAACAGTACCGCAGGGTGTTATACCTCCGTCACTTGATCGAGATCTTCTCTCCATCCGTGTGGTTTCTTCAACACATGACCTCGGTTGTTGCCAGTGTGAGGGACATGTTTCCTAGCAACAAGTCACAACTCGTGATGACGAAGAAAGAGGTAAGCAGAATATACTCATTATATAGTGTACAGTGGTATTGTGATGAAACCAAATCTTCTTTTGATGTTGGGGATGTTTTGCGAGACTAGTGGTTAATGTGTTCGCTCTTCACTCCGAAGGCTTAGGTTTGATTCCCCACATTGGTACAATGTATGGAGCCCATTTCTTCTTGCCCTGTCTTAATATTGCTGGCATGTTGCTAAAAAACATACTCACTCACTTTACTTATCTTGATAGGAGTAAAATATACAGTCGTTCCTCGCAATAACGCCCTTAGTTGAACTATCACCCGACCTACATTCCATAATTGGAATAAAGAGGGTGTCTGATAACGCGGGGGTCGTCATGGAACCCGAGACCCGTGTTATCGCGGGGGATGCCTGTATTGACGTCTGCTCCCCCTGTGGGGATTATTGGTCAGAATAGATCTTGTGATAGGAGCTGGACATTAGGATCAAGTGGTCAGACGGCGACCTTGCTGATTGTGTTCTCATGCTAACAGTCACTGGTTTGCCTGGACTTAACTAAATCATTTAGGCCACCTTAGCTGGAATAATGACAACTGTGATTTTCAATACCATTCACTCACTGATTTGCAAATTTTACAAATTCTAAGGTGGAATTTGCTCATAATATGTTCTTGTACCAAATCACAAAATCATTATCATTTGACCACAAGATAATACAGCTCATAGTACAAGACAAGTTAATTTGACCCTATTATCAATAAACCGTCATAAACCAGTGTACGAAAATAATCATATGAATCAAGAGATTCAAATATCATAGAAACCTCAAGGACTCCAGGACTCTCTTAATGTTGAACGCTGAATCATGGTTGATGTTATTACCTTCATGTTAAAATGGCTAGGAGTTGAAGATTTAGGGAGTCCAGAGCCTCAGTATCAGGAGAAGACCTCAAGGACTCTAGGAATCCCTCGAGACCCGTGAAGATCCGGGGTAGAATAGGTATTCAGCAACCCATGCTTGACGTAAAAGGCAACAAATGCTTGTTGAAGAGGCGACTAACAGAATCGAGTGGTCAGAATCACTGACTTGGTTGATGCATGTCATTGTCCCAATTGCATGGGTCGATGCTCATGATATCAATCACTGGATTGTCTGGTCCAGACTCAATTATTTACAGACCGCCGTCATATAGCTGGAATATTGCTGAGTGCGGCGTTAAACAACAAACAAACCAACTAACCTTTAATTTCGAACACAATAAACCATTTATTGAGTTTGATTTTGGGAGTCCCAAGCTTCAGTATCAGGAGAAGACCTCAAGACTCTAGAAATCCCTTTTATTTCGAACACAATAAACCATGTATTGTATTAGTAGAGTTAACACGGTTTAACTGCATTCTTCAGTGATACTGGGAAAAGATTGTCCTTCAATTTGGCCATGTGGAATGCAACTCTGTGTAATGTAGGCCATCTTTGATCCAGTTTGTTCTGCTGGATTGCTGCGTCAAGTCCATCCTCGTCCAGGCAGCCAAGTCCTTCTGTCAGATGAAGAGCATATTCCAAGCCATCAGACCTGCAGATGGAATAGGTAAGATGACTATGCTGAAGTTGTAGCTTTGGAGCAAGCTCAATATTTAGTAACTAATCAGGGAACTTGGGTGGTCCGGTCATGTGAGGTGCTGCAATACCCTGTGTTGCATCCTTTAGGCCTGCCAGAAACTTGTGACTGTGAGTTTGAAGCCATAATCGCCATGATTATGTTTCTTGGTTTGTCAGCACCATACCCCTGCTCACTCCTAAGACCTGCATCACTTTGGGCTTTTCATCGTACATTAAGCTGCGCATATTACTGAAATACTATTAATAGTAGTGTTAAGCCAAACTCTCTATTTATAATTGATGACACATATGAGTGCTTTACTTTGACTTGAATGCTAGCTGATGTATCTGAACGTGCTACCATTTGCACAAATAATAATCATGTGGGCTTATGGTCCCCTGCCACAAAGTGGAAGGGGGATATAGGAATGGGTGCTGACTGGCCAGGCGGCTGTCCATCCGTCACGTTTTGTTTCCGGATCAGCACTCAAAATCCATGAGAGATATCTTAACCACACTTGGCATATAGATAGTTTTGATAGTTTGGGATTTTTATAAAATTTTCAAGTTTCCATAGCAACGACTTTGTTGACATGGTATTTCCGGTTTTACGATCTCACAGTAATGTCTTTGTGTTAGGGGAAAAAAACAACAAAATTCTTCAACCGTGTGTATAAGACAACCCTACTTGAAAGCCCCCTAATTCTAGGTACGAAAAATTCGCCCTATACACAGAGATATACAGTAGACTGAAAATGGCGGTATTGCTCGTTTCTGGAGCGGACTTGAAAACGGTAAATATTTCTTGCCTTGCACACAACCAGACATGTCATAATGGTGGGGGACATGAGTATTTTATGCTTGTTATCAAAATATAACTACTTGACATAAATTAGGATACATTAAACAAAGGATTTGGTGATGGGTGGCAACTATGTCCACTGTATGATTGTCTTGTAACTCATGGACAGGGTAACTATGATCTGACTGTGAGTGGATGTCAGGTATAAGACTCTGTAGTGACGTGGTCTCTCTCCTCCTGCAGATATCCTGATTGGACTGATCTCCATCACACTGGACCTGCGAGCCTACCTGACTCTTGAGAGCCACGAGACCCTGGACATGTTCCTATACAGAGCTGTGCAGGTACACCAGTGACATCTCCCTATGTTACTCCTCTCTGTCAACCTAACCTCCCTCACTCTATCCCTCACTCCATACAGTGCTGTGCAGGCACACCAGTGACATCTCCCTATGTTACTCCTCTCTGTCAACCTAACCTCCCTCACTCTATCCCTCACTCCATACAGTGCTGTGCAGGCACACCAGTGACATCTCCCTATGTTACTCCTCTCTGTCAACCTAACCTCCCTCACTCTATCCCTCACTCCATACAGAGCTGTGCAGGTACACCAGTGACATCTCCCTATTTTACTCCTCTCTGTCAACCTAACCTCCCTCACTCTATCCCTCACTCCATACAGAGCTGTGCAGGTACACCAGTTACATCTCTCTATTTTACTCCTCTCTGTCAACCTACCTCCCTCATTCCAACCCACACTCCATACAGTGCTGTGCAGGTACACCAGTGACATCTCCCTATTTTACTCCTCTCTGTCAACCTAACCTCCCTCACTCCATACAGTGCTGTGCAGGCACACCAGTTACATCTCTCTATTTACTCCTCTCTGTCAACCAAACTTCCCTCACTCCAACCCACACTCCATACAGTGCTGTGCAGGCACACCAGTGACATCTCCCTAAGTTACTCCTCTCTGTCAACCTAACCTCCCTCACTCCATCCCTCACTCCATACAGTGCTGTGCAGGCACACCAGTGACATCTCTCTATTTTACTCCTCTCTGTCAACCTAACCTCCCTCACTCCATCCCTCACTCCATACAGTGCTGTGCAGGCACACCAGTTACATCTCTCTATTTTACTCCTCTCTGTCAGCCTAACCTCCCTCACTCTATCCCTCACTCCATACAGTGTTGTGCAGGTACACCAGTGACATCTCCCTAAGTTACTCCTCTCTGTCAACCTAACCTCCCTCACTCCATCCCTCACTCCATACAGTGCTGTGCAGGCACACCAGTGACATCTCCCTATTTTACTCCTCTCTGTCAACCTAACCTCCCTCACTCCATACAGTGCTGTGCAGGCACACCAGTGACATCTCCCTATTTTACTCCTCTCTGTCAACCTAACCTCCCTCACTCCATACAGTGCTGTGCAGGCACACCAGTGACATCTCCCTATTTTACTCCTCTCTGTCAACCTAACCTCCCTCACTCTATCCCTCACTCCATACAGTGCTGTGCAGGTACACCAGTTTCATCTCCCTAAGTTACTCCTCTCTGTCAACCTAACCTCCCTCACTCCATCCCTCACTCCATACAGAGCTGTGCAGGTACACCAGTGACATCTCCCTAAGTTACTCCTCTCTGTCAACCTAACCTCCCTCATTCCATCCCTCACTCCATACAGAGCTGTGCAGGTACACCAGTGACATCTCCCTAAGTTACTCCTCTCTGTCAACCTACCTCCCTCACTCTATCCCTCACTCCATACAGTGCTGTGCAGGTACACCAGTGACATCTCTCTATTTTACTCCTCTCTGTCAACCTACCTCCCTCATTCCAACCCACACTCCATACAGTGCTGTGCAGGTACACCAGTGACATCTCCCTATGTTACTCCTCTCTGTCAACCTAACCTCCCTCACTCCATCCCTTTGGGCGGTTGGGTAGCCTAGTGGTTAAAGCGTTTGCTTGTCACGCCGAAGACCCTGGTTCGATTCCCGACATGAGTACAATGTGTGAAGCCCATTACTGGTGTCCCCCGCAGTGACATTGCTGGAATTTTGCTAAAAGTGGCATAAAACCATACTCATTCACTCCAACCCACACTCCATACAGAGCTGTGCAGGTACACCAGTGACATCTCCCTAAGTTACTCCTCTCTGTCAACCTAACCTTATTCCTTACCTTCCTCACTCCGTCCCTCTCTGCTCTCAATATAAATTACAAGATTGTCTGGTCCAGACTCGATTATTTACAGACTTTCGTCATATATCTAGAATATTGTGAGTGTGACATTAAACAGCACAGATACTACTGTGAGTGCAGCATGCTCTGTGTAAAACCACTCATTCACTCCAGTTGTAAAGTCATTGAATTGTTCAAGAAAATACCATGTCAAATCAATCATCGTGCAACTGTTCTATCTCCAGGGTATATTCCGTCCAACATATGAGCGTTACAAGATCCTGGCTCAGTCCGAGTTAATCAAGAAGAACAAAGACAAGTTAATCTGCCCTATTCTGGTGAGTTGGTGTGCTCATATTTGTGGAGTTACTCTGGGGAGATTCTGTGGCAAAATTGCTGCCCAGTACCCCCCAACAATATTGGTTTACTCAAAACGTCCTGTTTTCCATATGTAAAATTACTCACAGAGACACAATACTCAGTTGAATGAAATGACCTTTAACAAAGCCCATTGGCCATTTTCCTGCAGTTAAATATCCTGATGGGCAACATCCGTGACGAAGTGATCGACTACCGCAACAACTACCAGACATCGTTTTCACGCTACATGAACATAACCGAGATTGCAGCCCAGGCTTTCTATATCCTGCTGATGGAAGATGTGGAGGAACTCTGCAAGGAGCAGACGGCAAGACATGACAAGGTGAAGGTCATTCAACATTTCAGCATCCTCAGTCATCTGGTGAATAGTATCTCATTTTATTTACATCAGTACCTTGGACATCACCCTGGACATCACCTGATTCAAGAAGTAGCTTTCCAATGAAAGTACTCCTACCAGCATGAAAAACTCTGTGCTAAATTAGAAATAGGAACATGGCAGTTGTGATGTCACATCCCAAACAACTTGTTTGATGTGTATTTCTTAGAAATTGACGAATGACAAAGTAGACACAATTTGTTTCACAACGGCATAAGGATCTACACCAAAACGTTGCCATTAGGCTAAAAAATTATAGTCTTGGTTCTCAGGCACAACCTGCCTCATCATAAAGTCTGCGACCTGTTTTGTTTTTATTTCCATTTTCAAAAAAATGTAAAAATACTAATATTTAAACACAATGCAAAAAAAAAATTGAAAATGGAAACCAAAACGAAACGTGCAATGAACTTTATGCTGATGTGGGCAGTGCCTGAGAACCAAGACTATTATTCTTTTTAGCCTTACAGGAAATTAAAGAAGTTGTTATCCATAAATTGTGTCTACTTTGTCATGCGAAACAAGGCTAGGGATTTGGTCTAGGCTATTGACTATAATAGAGATGTGATCACGTAACGTGTAACATGTCATGGTAGAACTGGATCACTCTGTTTCAGACCGTCCATGAAATCAACCTGCTGATGCTAGGCCTGGCCTACAGACTTAACCGACTGGACCAGGACTGGGCCGAGTACATCCCCACAGAGTCAGTAGTCCCCTCTGTCCCCTGTGAACATCCTCACTGTCAGTAGTTGTCACTCTGTACCCTGTGAGCTGCGATATAACTGGAATAATGTTAAAAGCGGCGTTAAACCCAACTCACTCACTCACACTGTACCCTGTTAACATCCTCACTGTCAGTAGTAGTCACTCTGTACCTTTGTGAACATCCTCACTGTCAGTAGTCCCCTCTGTCCTCCGTGAACATCCTCACTGTCAGTAGTCCCCTGTGAACATCCTCACTGTCAGTAGTCCCCTCTGTCCTCCGTGAACATCCTCACTGTCAGTAGTCCCCTGTGAACATCCTCACTGTCAGTAGTCCCCTCTGTCCTCCGTGAACATCCTCACTGTCAGTAGTTGTCACTCTGTACCCTGTGAGCTGCGATATAACTGGAATAATGTTAAAAGCGGCGTTAAACCCAACTCACTCACTCACACTGTACCCTGTGAATATCCTCACTGTCAGTAGTAGTCACTCTGTACCCTGTGAACATCCTCACTGTCAGTAGTCCCCTCTGTCCTCTGTGAACATCCTCACTGTCAGTAGTCCCCTGTGAACATCCTCACTGTCAGTAGTCGTCACTATGTCCCCCATAAACATCCGTGTTAGAAGTGGTCTTCAGCAGCCCATACTTGTCGTAAAAGGGACTTGCAGGATTAGGGTGTCACACTTGCTGACTTGGTTGATGCATTGTATCCCATTTGTGTAGATCGATGCTCATGATGTCAATCACTGGATTGTCTGGTCCAGATTTGATTATTCTCAGACCACCATCATATAGTTGGAATATTGCTGAGTGCATCTGCAAACAACAAACAAAGCTGTAATTTAGTACTGTAGGGAAATGCATCAATATCTTACGTCCTTGTTGCTTAACTCCTCACTCAGCTATAATCCAGCTATAAGACGGCAGCTTGAAAATAATCAAGCCTGGACCAGTCAAACTATCAACACTAGCAGTGTACGAGGACACGCAATCAGCCATGTCACCGAGCCGGTGTTGCATAAGTTTATCAGAATTCTACTTGTAAACATACGACTTGAGAGTTACCACAATCTTAGCTCTAGTATGCTGGATCAGGCAGATTATTTCAGTGTCTGTTATTGTGAAAGCCCTCAGTCATATTTATCAAATGAAGTAAAATTGACCTTTCTCAGATTTCCAAGAGTACTTCAGTGGTTTCTAGTCTCAGACAAATCCTGCAATTGACCGAAATCTGCACAACAGTTAATGAACCGGATTCTGATTTCGTTGCGCATTTTTTATTGACTCGTTAGTCCTGCCAAAATGTAACTCCATAATACCAGCCCATTACGGCAAGGGTTGAAACTGGACTTTTATAGTCAATTAACTCTCTTGACTCGGGAAGATGACGAAAGGAAGGCTATACCACTAAATAATTGTGTTTCAGAGCTCAGCAATGGCGTAAGAGATTTCTACGAGAAATTGTGCTGTGGTCGACGTCGATCATGTTCCACGTGCAGGACCTGGTGACAGAGGCAGTGTCGGGAGATGAGGTACTGAGACATGCTGGTGTTCCTCTGTATCTGTGGAGGGCTCTACTACTCAACTTCTAATAGGGATACTGAGATATGACATACTATTACGACAAGGAGGACAACTGCTTATGTATGGAAGGGGGGATGGGTGGCCCAGTCATCAAAGGCACCGCTATTCACTGTGTAGAGGGGGGCGGTCCGGTAGCCTAGTGGTTAAGGCGTTAGCTCGTCACGCCGAAGACCCGGGTTCAATTCCCGACATGGGTACAATGTGTGAAGCCCATTTGTGGTGTCCCCCGCCATGATATTGCTGGAATATTGCTAAAAGCGGCGTAAAACCACACTCACTCACTCACTCACTCACTCACTCACTGTGTAGAGTTTCATCCCTCACTCATGCCAGAAACCTAGGTTCGTGGGTTCAAAGTCCCGGTTCGCTCCAAATATGTTCCTAACACCATACCCTTGCTTGTGGGTTTCACCAAAGTGGTAAACGTCGAAGACCTCCATCACTTCAAGCTTTCCTCCCACATCAAGCTAACACGCCATGATATATCTGGATTAATGTTAAAAAAGTGACTTTAAACCAACTCACTCACTCACTCACTCACTCACTCACTCACTCACTCACTCACTCACTCACTCACATGTAAATGTGTAGATGTAAATGTGTATTTATAATAAATCTAATTTCTTAATTATTCTTTACAATGTCGACCATGCCATATTAAGATCTACCACAGATGGGTAATATGATCTGAGTCCTACCATGATCTGAGTCTTATATATATGTAATGTGTCTTTGTGTGATATTTGTGACACATGATCCTGTTTGTGTAGTTCGAGACGCAGGAGGTTCATCTGATGACTCCGCTGTCATCCCTGACCGGGTCCTCCTACTCTGTCCATCGCAGTCAGTCTTTGTTAGCCACATCTCTCACCCCCTCCGTAAACAGCGCCTTCAGCAGCCTCGTGTCCTCACTCCGATCTACGCCAAACAAGCAGGTCAGTATAGGACTATACTCAGTGGCCATCATTCGGAGCATCACTCCATAGTTCTGTTACCCCATCCCAACAGCATGGTGTCTATGTGGTTTTGCATTAAAAAAACATCATTATTCTAGACTAGTACATGCAGTCACACACCAACATGTATTCACTTCACTATGTTGGCAACCCATGAAGATCCGGGTTAGAATAGGTCTTCAACAACCCATGCTTGCCGTAAAAGGCAACTATGCTTGTCGTAAGAGTCGACTAACGGGATCGGGTGGTCAGGCTTGCTGACTTGATTGATGCATGTCATCGTAGCTCAAATGCGTGGATTGATGCGCATGATATCAATCACTGGATTATCTGGTCCAGACTTGATTATTTACAGACCGCGGTCATATAGCTGGAATATTCACATTCTAATATATGTGGAATAATCTTAGCGCGATGTTAAACCCCATTTCACTTCGCCTCACCTAATATTAGATAACGTGCATAGAAGGTTATTGGCTGTTTTCATCTTTTGCAGGCTGCAATTGCAGACTCTCCATCCAGACATCCTCGACAACCTGCAACCATCCCAGAAACCTCCCCTGAAACAATAAAATCAGCTCAGACAATTAACAATGTCAACCCAATCACACAACCAGAGAAGAAGGAGGTGAAGGTCGTTAAGATTCGCAAGCAAGGGTCATTTGAGACCAAGTCACTCATATCAGTAGAAGACCATGTTGACTGTTTGAAGTCTAAAGGCCTTAAGCACAGTGCGTCCATGCCGGAGATGAAGGACAAGGATGAGGATGCTACGGAGCGCTTGTGGATGACACAGTCAGGGGAGGCTGATTCATGCCCCTTCATGCCCCTGCTCAACGAGAGCGATGAAATGAGCAGCAATGAAGAGACTGGACACAGCAATAGTGACATCAATGGGTCAGGACTGGTATTCCAGGCTACGGTTCACAGTGATGTGGATGATGATGATGATGATGATGATGATGATGATGATGATGATGATGAGACAAGCACAGTGGCATCTGATACAGTGCATTCTGACAATGAAGAAGACTCGGAGACTGTAGGTGACTTTAAGTTTCCACCCATACAGCAAGTGTCGTCTGGCCTACCAGGCAGCAGTAAGGCATTTCATGTAGATGGTGCACAGGTTGAAGTAGAGCCTCAGGGCTTTGTGTCCCGACTCACATCAGCATTCAGACTGCCTAGGAAAAGAACGGTTTCAACTGGAACACATGAATCTGGCACGGAATATGAAACAAGAAGATTCCAAGACTCACTTGAACAGTCGTACAATTCTGTTGACCACTGCTTTGAAAGTTCTGATAGACACGAGTTCTTGGATTCTTTCTCCTCGGATTTTACAAACGTTTCTCTCCCCACTCCCCCACCTGGTTCTGATGCTAGCTTGCCAATATCAGGTTCTGCCATTGATCTGGTGGTGATGCTCCAGCGTCTGGTTGGGATTTCACGGACAATGTACCAGATCCTGTTCCCGACCTTGGATGACCTTGAGACCCTGGAGGCTCTGGATGGGGGCGAACTCAGTATGGAACAGTTGGAGTTTCATCAGAAGAGTGTTGCTGGGAAAGAAGAAATATATGAGAATTTCCTGACAGTAAGACCATAATAAAATTACCGTATTCAGCGTAATAAGCGCCCCTCTCTAATAAGCGCCCATGGCGATATTTGCTAATATATTGGCTCGTGAACAATCCCAATTAGCACCCTTTCCGATGGATCAATGTACACAATACTTATTTATTCGCGTATAATACGCACTCGTGTGTTATATGCATCCTTAATTATGGGCCATTAAATTCTGGAAAAATATATCTCTCGTATATAAACATTTCAGGCTGTAAGCATAAACCACGAAATTTATCTTTCAACTGGGTTTTTTTCGACAAAATAATATTCTAATGAGAGCCCCCAATTTCTAATTTTGAGAGCGCCCTGGGCACTTATTACGTCGAATACGGTAATTATTTTACCTTATCCTGACTCCTGTAGAAACTCCTCTGCTGTGTCCCCAAAAACAGAGAAAAATATCTCACGCAAAGGCACCCCTCAGCTGGAATGAGATAAGCAATAAGTATGAGTCAAGATACGTATATATGATATTTTTACCCTAACAAATACATATTTCAGTTCCGTTCCCATTCCCCTCACTATCAGACATCAAGCTTCACTTAATTGTTTTGTCCCAACCACCTACTGATGAAGGAAATCCCAATAACCTCATGAAATACACAAGATATGTAGTTCTACCAAATATTCAAGTGAAACACATCTGTTCACATGTAACCTCAGACAAGAACCTCTGCCAAACCCTCAAAGTCTGGACGATCATTTTGTAAGTCGTGGCTAACGACTTTCACTTGGTTGACATACAATGAGGATTTGCAGATTTTATTGTTTTCAGTAGCTAGTCGTATATTGAATCTTGATTGACCGCCATTTTGCTTTCTCGGACGATCGATATCCAATTTTTTTATGGTCAATAATTAAGTACAGATGAAAAAAGTATTCAAATAACTATTGCTATCAACGATATTTTAGTATTTGTGATTAAATTATCTGTCTTGTTTTTAAAAAAATCTTTAGTTTAAAAAAAAACTTTTCCCGTGAGGTCACGTGATAACCAAATATGGGATAATAGTCTCGATCCAAATGTTACAACACGTACACTTGAGCAGACTCATGAATATAACTCATGAATATTAATTAGACCGTTCACTACATTAACAGATCGTTATTATAACAGAAACAAACGTATGTTTTCCATGTAAATCTAAAATGATATTATTTGTTATTAATTGGCCGGTGAATTAAACAATTTAAATTGAAACAATTAATAATTCATCATATTATGAATACGTAAACTTGTAATGTGTGTGAAAAGTCGTACTAAAATATGCTATTTGAAGGGGGCGTGGCCTAAATGCAAATGTCCGATTGGGATTTTAAATTTTCCGGACCCCTGATTAAGACCCATGCAACCCATATTTGCTACAAAAGGCGACTATTCTTGTCATAAGAGGCGACTAACGGGATCGGGTGGTCAGACTCGCTGTCTTGATTGATCCATGTCATTGTATCCCAAATGCGTGGATCGATGCTCACTATATGAATCACTGGATTGTCTGGTCCAAACTCAATTATTTACAGACTGACGTCATGTAGCTGGAATATTGCTGAGTGTGGAGTTAAACAACAAACAAACAATCTAATCTTGATTAATAAGGCTGGGATATAATTGTGACTAAAATGGCATTCACTTGCATGTTTGTTGACACTTTGCCCTGACATCTCCCCCAGACCATCTGTGTGACGGCCTGCCAGTACGCGGACAACATGCTGTGTCTCGACCTGTGTGGAACTCCACACACTGCGGCAAAAAAGCTCATAGGACCCAAGGTATACCCCTGATCAATCTATTGCCACCTGTCAATCAAACAATATGATTGACCAATCAAAGTATAGAGTTATACAGAAGCCACTAACTTCCTACCTGTTGGACTTTTATCATAGTGGATATTATTTCAGGTCAACTCGTCAAAATTTTGTTGTTGTTTTTTATATATGTTTTTTTGTACGTTGAAATTGTCCGTCGTAAGTAGATCTCAAACGTTTGAGAAATTAGAAAACATTAGAGATAGATGATAAATTAATGGAATTGTTTTTAAATGTGCCTAGGAATATTGATAAACACAATGATGGACTAACGACATGTGACATGGTCGCCCATTGATGGTTAGGGGCAAGGTAAACTCCACTCTGGCAATAGATTGCTTTATTCAAGATCACCTCGTTTTGGGTCATTAGATCTTCTTTACTGTGTTTTGACACGAACTGTTAATGTGATAATAAGAGCCTAAAGCTGGGTACAACACAACACAAGAAATAGTTTTTTAATTCTTAAGAAAATTAAAACGTCCAGTGATAAACATTGCAATTTCATACTGAACAAACAAATCGGAGGGTATCATTAGGTAAAGGCGACATTAGTTTAAGCAATGATTTGTGTGCTATATCTATGTCACTGATTTCATTGTAGCTCCTAGAGCACGTAACCAATCAGCAGCATTTAGGCCTTGTGTGGGGATGTCGGCATGAGCTGGATGGGAAGAAGAACTGCTTTGAGTACCTCAACAAACAGACGGACTATCTCTGTGACAGATATGAGCCAATCACACAGCAGGTATTTCTGATAAGATTAAATAGTCTGCCTACCTGTGTGACAGAAATATCAACCAATCACAGTGCAGGTATGAACAGGAGAATGTAAGAGTCTGCCTACCTGTGTGACTGAAATATCAACCAATCACAGTGCAGGTATGAACAGTAGAATGTAAGAGTCTGCCTGCCTGTGAGACAGAAATGTCAACCAATCACAGTGCAGGTATGAACAATAGAATGTAAGAGTCTGCCTACCTGTGTAACTAAAATATCAACCAATCACAGTGCAGATATGAACAGGAGAATATAAGAGTCTGCCTACCTGTGTAACTAAAATATCAACCAACAAAAGTGTATTAGCAATAGAAGGTAGGAGTCATACAGTAATAATACACTTTCTTTCACTTCATTAACATCAATTATCAAAGTTTATTGGTTTGTGGAAGGGTGAAACAAACAAGCTTAATTAAATTTTCCAAATGAGAAGCGTGAACCAAAATCAGTAATCTATCCCTACAAGGGGATTCCGGTTCAGAGTCAGGACTGGTTTGTCTGGCCTCTGTACAGGCCATATTTAGCTGGAATAATGCAACGTTGAACAAGAAGAAGTTATGATCTAACATGAATTTCTAATGATTAAACCCAACTTCAAAGATGTACAAACTCCTGAAGTAAATATGTACTCAGAACAACCTCTGTAGATAACTACATACATGTAGCTGCACAGTCTTGATAGGTTCCAGATAGCAGTACAACGTAGACAACCAAGTTAGAGTTGTCAGCTCGTAGTCTGCCCGTGAGTCCAGAAAAATCTTCGAAGGAAGTGTAGTTAGAAATCTGTTATACTGTGTTATTGATTGTTGAATCTTGGGCATTTATTTGACAGATGTGTACGCGTATCAACAATGTGTCGGCCATGTTGAAGTTTCTGGAGGTTTATGAGCGTCGCCTGGCCAACACGTTCGGAGAGAAAGATTTGTGGATCAACTCTGACGACGTACACAGGAGCCGCGTGAACCCTAGGAGTGGCAGAGAGAGCTGCTTTTCAGTGGCAGGTCAGCAGTCTGTTGTGTATGTTGTAACCAAGGTGGGAGGGGCGCAATCGTCAAAGGCATCACGATTCACTGTACAGAAACCTGTGGTTGTTTCGAATCCTAATTTTTCTGTGAATATATTTTTAGGCTGTCAGCATCATACCCTTTCTCATGGGTTTCATCAAACACCTATGACCTACCATACTTTGATCTTCCTCCCACATCACGCTGACATGCCATGATGTAACTGGAATTCTGTTCAAAGCATCATAAAACCAAATTCACTCATTCACTCACAGACCCGTGAAGATCCAGGTAGAGCAAAGGTCTTCGGCAACCATGCTTGTCGTAAGAGGCAACCAATGGGATCGGGTGGTCAGGCTGTCTGACTTGGAAGATGCATGTCATCGTATCCCAAGTGCGTAGATCAATGCTCATGATGTCAATTACTGGATTGTCTGGTCCAGACTTGATTATTTACCGACCGCCCTTATATAGCTGGAATATAGCTGAGTGTGGCATTAAACAACAAACAAATAAACATTCCCTCATAACAAGGCAGCCATGCATTCGTTGCCCAATTTGTTAACCTTTGTCTCTCCAGTGTTGATATCTACCGGTAATTAGTTTCTTTGCTCTTCGACAAAACAAACTGAAAGATTATTGAAAGGCTATTACCATATTCGACGTAATAAGCGCCCAGGGCGCTCTCAAAATTAGAAATCAGGGGCTCTTATTAGAATGTTATTTTGTTGAAAAAACAGAGTTGAAAGATAAATTTTGTGGTTTATTCTGACAGCCTGAAATGTTTATGTACCACAGATATATTTTTCCAGAATTAAATGCCCATAATTAAGGGTGCATATAACACACGAGTGCGTATTATACGCGAATAAATAAGTCTTGTGTACATTGATCAATCGGAAGGGGTGCTAATTGGGATTGTTCACTAGCCAATATCTTAGCAAATATCGCCGTAGGCGCTTATTACGTCAAATACGGTAATCAGACTTTAATAATTGGAATATTTGAGAACAAAGTTGCCTCCAGAGAAGCATAGATCCCCAAGCACCATACTTGGACTAGAATGGTAATCAGAATTTTTGGGAGTTTTAAGATGGAGCGAGTGCAATAAATAAACATGGGTTGTATGCTTATCCTAAGGGATGACTGGAATGGGATAATATATATAGCCAATAATAATTATTTAGAAAATCATGATTTTGAGACTGATGGAGAAAAACATAGGTACAGGTTAATTTATTTGGGAGATTTATTTATCTGAGATTCATTATGTCAAAAAGGTCAAGATGATGCCTCATCCATGAAGTGGTCATTTCGTTCGTTTATTTTGTCAGACTTCAGCCTGGAGGAGCTGGAGAAGGACGAGTGGCGAGACCAGGAGGAGCTGCTGCAACATCCGGACTCACCGCTGGTGCTCAAACTCCTCAACCCCCATCAGAGCCACCTGCTGGCCATACAGAAAGCTCAGTGCAGACTCATGGCTTACAGGGTAGGTTGTGTTTCTATGCTTGGTAAAGACTCATGAAGTGTCTTCAAATTAAAAAACTGAAACTCATGTAATCTTGTTCTCCCAACTTCTAAATGCCTATCAAAGACTTGTCTTCAAATTGTGATCAAAATTGTTTTTGTCTGCAACCATGGTAACTATTCAATAACCATTTCAAACTTAAAGCCACACCAATATATTGCTGAAATGTGTTCAACCTTTAATCACCCACAAACTCCTGCAATTGTTGAATTGAGATGGTTCCCCCTTGACGTTGAGGATGTGATAGATGGTTGTGTCTTCCACAGCTTAACTTGTTTCTCCATGATGCGCTGGCCCTGCTGATGAAGCTGAAGCCTCCGAATGTCTCCATACAGGATTGTTTGAAACCCGTAACCAACTTTCTCCACAAGTACATGGAGAAACTTAGTGGCTGGCTTTATAAAGACTGTTTCCATCAGCTGTTAGAATGTCTGTGGATATTTCTTGTAGAAGTAAGTTTCTTCTCCAACTTTGGTGTCACTTATGTTATTTTGCGAAAGCTCAAACAGAAAAAAAGAGAAAAATAGTTTGAATTTGCTCTTTGACCAACCACACTGTCTTAGTTGGATAAGAATAAAAAGATTACAAATCATACATCATACAAATGTAATGAAATTATTAACGTTTGAATTTGAACATGGGCATTGTAAGAAGTCTCTGGCCACTGAACACCTCTACATGAAAAAAATGAATCCTTCTTTGAAGCAATTACATATACACTGCTAAATGTCACACTTTACACACAATTAGCATTTGATTTTTTCCCCCACAAAACGGGCTGTCCCAAACAATTTTATCCCAGATAGAATTAAAAAGTATTGCGTGACACACATGTAATTTTTTATTTAGGATTTATTTTTGCTTTCATTTTGACCGACCTAAACTTCTTCTTTTAGCAAGAAATTTAAACCTGAAATTTGAAAAAAAATAAGCTGAACTAAGACCATGGTCAACGCTAGGCCTGTGGAAGTATCATGGTGTTTAGCGTGACAAAAAGGTGAAGGTCTGTACAGATTTCACAACCATGCTTGTTTATGCTTGTGTAGGATTTGGAGATGGAAGCTGACAGACTCCGTCTGGAGGAAGACAACTCACCCTTCTGGGCACAGACAGTATTACAGGCGCTCACGGTAGGTAGATGAAGTCTCTTGGTTGAGATTCTGTAGACCTGCTGATTCCAATAGATTTGACAGTGTGTGTATTCTGGGTCAGAATGGGTTCCCAGTTCCTCATGCTAGGGCTGACTAATGAGCATCAGTGGTAACAGTGTGTGCCCTAGCAGACTGTGATTGTACCTTCAAGGTGAGGATTGTTGCTCATTATATTGACCACTGTTTTCCAGACTGGCTGGAATATTGCTGTCGTGAAACATTCATTTTCTCACAACATAGAAGATGACAGAAACCTAAACATGACAGTTGCTTAACCTTACTACACCTAAGGACCCGTGAAGATCCGGGTTTGAATTGGTCTTGTCGTAAGAGACGACTTACGGGATTGGATGATCCAGCTCGCTGACTTCGTTGATGCACGTCATTGTATCCCATATACGTAGATCGACGCTCATGATATCAATCACTGGATTGCCTGGTCCAGGCTCGATTAGTTACAGACTGCCATCATATAGCTGGAATATTGCTGAGTGTGGCAAACTACACACAAACAAACAAATACTACACCAAAGAGAAATATATGTCAATGTAGGTGCAAGGATGTGAGCTGAGGAATGTTTATTCTGACTTTCAGCACTTGCTGAAATTTATGAACAACTTTGGAAAAGGTATCACAAGAAATTTGCTGTTGTCCCAGGCTGTGAGTAGATACATTGTCAGATCATGTAATACTTGTGTTTGTACCTTACTTTCCACACATTAGCAGGGAATAACCCAACTCAAACAACAAATGCTTGGTATAAATGAATTTCTTCTCATAGCCAATATATGACTAAATTGTTTCAAGTTGTTATTAGCTTGCTTGGGTTAAATGCTGGTTCAGAAATACTTTGAAGAGTAAGGGACCATTATTGTTTGAGTGTTACCATGGTTACATGCTTAATAGTGTTGAGATCTGTTCTTGATTCTTTCACTGATAGAACAAACATAACAAATACTAACAGTAGTGAGATCTGCGAGTTGTATTAATTTTCCCAGATCCTCAACAAGATGTCATGGGCATTAAATCTCTTTAGGTCCTGACAATTTACTATTATGGAGAGTAGGTTGGTGGGACTTTTTGTTGTCACTTCTTCAAGAGACACGTTTTTAGCTCACCTGGCCTGAAGGATTATGTGAGCTCATGTCATTGCAAATTGCCCATCGTATTCAATAAACTTCCATAAGGTTTGTGTGGATATTTGTTACTATAAGGGGGTTCAAGTTTGTTCAAGGTGTCAAAATTGGAATTTCAATGTGGCTGCCAGGTAACCATCTTAGATTTAAAATATAAAAATATAAAAAGTCATCCGCCATCAGCCATTTTGGAAAAAAACAAACAATTTGCTGCTGGACCAATGAAGCTGAAACTTTACATGCTTTTTCTCGCCAATGATGACACCTAAATTTGTTATAGATTTGTTATTGTCCACGCCCGATTTTCAACATGGCCACCGTGGAAACCATAATCAGACTGCTATTTATAGCCTATGCTCAGGCATTTGTGTTCTAAATGTAATGAAATTTGGTACATGTGTAATTTGTAGTGAAAAAGACATATGCATTGCTGTTTTTTGCTATATTTTAGATTTTGGCCTTGATTTGACCTTTGAGAATATCAAATAATGAGTCCCTTGTAAGAAACAACTAAAAATTGCATGTACCTTGCACCAGATCGAAGAAATCTCGATTTCGCTGCATGAGTGTTAATCTCCTTCTTGTTTCAGGATGAGCTGGTCTTTAAGCTACAGCTATACTCACTGTCCACACACCAGCTCCTGGCTCTCTACAGTAAACTTATAGATGTAAGTTCTTTGCTTCCTTATCAAGGAAAAGGCTGGTGTGTAGCTGAGTGGATAATGTATTGGGACATCACGCCTGGGTTTGATTCCACAAATGGGTACAATATATGAATCCCATTTGTAGAGTCCCTGCTATATGAAAAAAACAAAAAAAACTTACTCACTTACTTAACATATATCGGTACTCAGTCACCCCATTAATGGAAAAAAGGGGCGATCGGGTAGCCTAGTGGTTAAAGCATTCGCTAGTCACACTGAAGACCTGGGTTTGATTGCCGACATTGGTACAATGCGTGAAGCCCATTTCTGGTGTCCCCCGCCTTGATATTGCTGGAATATTGCTAAAAGTGGTGTAAAACCATATTCACTCACTCACTATAAATGGAAAGTAGGGGAATTGTGAGCCATGCTAATCCTAGCCTTTGTTTGCACCAGTACTCCCTGGGAGAGAGAGGCATGTTCCCCCATGAGATTGAGAAGCCAGCACCGACTGTCATACTACAGAAGATCCAGAGAGATCTGCAGAGATTCAGGAAGTGTTTCTCTGGGAAGGAGCTCTTTCAGTGGATCTTCCGAAACAGAGAACTCTTCTATAGAGTTGGTAAGTTGATTCTTCTATCAGCAGGCGGGCAGGCGAGGCATTAGGTGTACTGGTGTCCCTACTTTGATTTTGCTGGAATATCGCTGAAAGTGACATCACTCACCCTCTTAAAAGATATGAATGTTTTGGTAAGAATTCTTCATTCTTTGTTTCAGAGCCGGTGATGGTTGAACGCTTTGTACCGTTCACAAGGGACATCGCTGTTGAGATCATTCTCAAGTTCCTAGATCTGCGATACATTGTTGACCTTGAGACAGGTACTTGTCATATCACTCAGATTAAGAACTTTAGATACTGCTTGCATGTGCTTAACATTAACGGAAAGATTTGTGGCATCTGTACCTGACACCAGAATTCCATGAATTTGGAAAATGCTTTGGAAAATGCTTTGGAAAATGCTTTGGAAAATAGATTCTTCTTCTATAGACTTCTTCCAAATGGCCCTTGGGAATTCTTGTGGGAATGTCATGTAAAGGTCACAGATAGTTTGTGGTTACACTTTCTCAAAAAGTAATAATTCACTATCATTATACTTGGTCTATACCTTCTCTAGGATGGGGCCCTGCTTTGAAAAGATTTGGGTCAAGATTATTCATAGGTCAAGCTTAGTATTCAGCTTTTTGTAAAACATAGTTATATCATTGTCAGTTTCTGAGGCATTGTTACCTTTCCGAAAGTATGAAACTATATTTTTGCATGTATCTTTACAAATCCTACCACATCTAATGCTTTTTTTATCAACGGTCAAGATCTTTTTTGAGATTATTGTGAAAACATGTTGGATCATTTATGGTCAGTTGCTGTTGCAATTTTACTTGTATAGTCCTGAGATGTGGGTAAATTGTTGGATCTTAAGAAGTTGTCTTAATTAAGTCAAGGTCTGGAAGTAGGTTTTGTGGTGGTATAATAAGACTTTAAGCCATGAAGAAATGGCAGTGACGGGTATGCATGTGGATCAATGTTCTTTTCCAAATAACAATAATATTTTGTCATCAGATACATAATAAAAGTCAAAATATTGTCGTGGACAATTACCGTGCATCAATTATTTGATCAATCTCTGCACAATAGTCCAGGGCCTCATACAAAGTCATCTCTAAGTCATCAGGGTGTTGTAATAGCTGAATTACTAAAACTGTTTCATGGAAGAATGTCAGGCTGACAAACTTTGAAGTTCCATGCAAGACTTTGTAATGATATAATATGTTTGACAAATTTGTTTTTAAATATTGAATCAGCTGTATGTATATCAACTTATTCTCGTCACTGTAGGACAGAAATAATGCGACATTAAGTTTTAACTCGCCCACTCACTCACATGCAAGACTATATCCAGTTCACCACATTTGGAGAATGTTTCAAGTTGAGCTTAGTTTACCTTATATGACATGGCTGCACCATTGCTATATTATAACAAACCCATACATGTGTTTCAGAGGACAGTCGGTCACCTAGTCCTACGAACAGTGGCACCCGATACCCAGATGTAAGCATACACACCGAGTTCACTCACATCTCAGACCTACGTCCAGAAACAGCAAGCACAGACCTCTATGACAGTGAGCTGACTCCCACAGCCTCCCCCACCATAGGCGCCTACCAAACCTATAGCCACTCATCTCTCAGGAACCTCGTTAGCAATGGCAGCACACCAACCATACCACATGATGACGATGTGGCTCACAAAAGTACCTGTAACGAGGGCCAGAGATTATCACCTTGCCTTAGTGTTGATAGTCAAGAAAATCAGGAGTCTGTATTATATGGTGATACTTCCGAATTGGATAGTGCTGTGCCGAGGACTTTTGTTGGTCATGAGTCAGGCAGTCTTGTGTCTGGGATGACTGGACAAGATCAACATGGAAGTGGGGATTCTAACCATGCTGTACCTGCTCAGAGTGAAACAGGCAAAGACATAGAACCAAATCTGGACAGAAGATCCCCCTGTGATATACCTGGAAGTTGTGATGAGACAGTTTCTCTTCAGGGGCCTGCAGCACATACAGCCTCAATAGTCAGCCCAGCCTTTGAAGCACTTCCTAACCATGGTGCCAAATGTGAGGAAACACGACTACCGATCCACCACCAGTTTAAGGCTGGGTCCAAACAGAGTATAGCCTCGGGCTCCAATTTTCTGGGGTCCTATGAGAGTGGGTCAAGAACCATGCCAATGACCCTTGCTCGTCTGCAGCAACTGAGACATGTGTCTGAGGGAACATCACTATCGTCTCTTTACACTCCTCTGTCTTTTCGTTCGGATACTCCATATATTGCAATGATAGATTCAGCGCAGACATTTTTCCATGTTTTGCCACATGCAGTGGAGGAAAGTGCCTATCTGAACAAATCTTCCCCTGCTTTTGATAGCTATATCAAGGAGAACTCGGAAAGGTTCAAAACTCTCACACGGTCAAGGGAAACTGCAGATATGGTGGAAAAATGCTTTCAAAAGAAAATCAAACCTGTGTTTCTCCTCACTATCTTGTATGGTTTGAGGAAAAGTGACCCTGTTGCTAAGGCATTTGTGAGGCAGCTGCCAGCTAAAGTGGTGGACAAGATCAAAACTCAGCTCCATAGTTGATGAATGATGCATCACCTGTAGTATTAGTGGCTGTATTTAGATCAAGGGCTGTTTAGTATTGCCAAACAGTACTATACAAGAAGCCTGTTGGTTGCATCCCTCTGGTCATTGCTACAATGTTGCTAAAAGTTAAATGACACTACTCACTTTTAGATACGTGCTCCACGACCAGGTTTCATACAGCATTACACAAAGACACTCTGTCTGGTTTGCAAAACCTGAAACCTTTGCTACTGATTTGGTTTGATATATAACCATTTTTTGTTTCAAAATATATGGCAGTATTTGAAATGCAGCAATGAAAATATCAGTGTTTGGTCCATCAGAGTAAATATCGTTACTGGCTCAATTAATATTGACAAATTGTGAGGTTGGCGAAGTTGAACATTAGTATTTAGCATGACCTTAGAATTTTTAGTGAAAATTGTTATGCAAACGCTCAGTGAGAGGTCAAGAAAACATCCAATTTTTTTCACTCCTGTTATTAATCAGTTTGCATGCAGTGATTTATGTATTTTGTTTATCGAAAAGGATGTTACATTCCTGATTTTGTTTATTATTTTTCACCAGTTAATGAGGCACAGTTTTACTCTTACTTCAAATGATTATGCTATTAACTAAATGGTTAGTTGGTTGGTTTGTTGTTTAATGCCGCACTCAGCAATATTCCAGCTATATGATGGCGGACTGTAAATAATCGAGTCTGGACCCGACAATCCAGTGATTGATATCACGAGCATCGATCCACGCAGTTGAGATCGATGACACGAGCATCGATCCACGCAGTTGAGATCGATGACATGCATCAACCATGTCAGCGAGCCTGACCACCCAATCCCGTTAGTCGCCTCGTACGACAAGCATAGTCAACTGAATGGAGTAAAGAGTAAACTATACTTGTGTAATGCCAATGAGCATTATGATGTCTGTGATAATTTGTATCTTTCAGATTGTATTCTATGATGCATGTATGAATTTACTATTGTGTACTAGGAACAATATTAAGGGAACCTCCAAATTCATTCAGAAATGATATGTAAAGAAATGACATTGTGGAATTAAATTTTCATAGTAAAGTCAATATCATTGATGCAGGCATGATAATCTCTTTAAAATCATATCTGAGTTCTCATTACGGCGAAACAAAGATGTGAGGACATCCAATAACGGTTCATGTCAAAGGGTCCTTTCATCTGACCAATCGGAGCGTTGCTTACCAGATCAGGAAAATGACAGTCGGAATGTGTTTTCTAATCATGCAATCTCGAAACGGTCAACACAGGGTATTCTGAACGACATTTAGACTATAGGACTGATTCCCTCAAAATCATTGTCTTTCTCTCGCTTAAATGGGATAAACATTTCAAACAGAAGAGACTTCCATAACCCGTGGGAAATACTGCCATACAATTTTGGCCATCTATTAGACATTCTAGAATTTATTTTGTTCAGTTTTCAAAGTGACTGTCACTGTCATTTTTTTATTTCTAGTAAGTCTGATGCCTTCAAACACATTCTGAAACTTGTCTGTTATCTCTGATCTGTTCACCTGTTTGTTTTTACCAACAGTCCTAATCATTTGTGCCTTTGTGTCTGTTATCCTCAGGTCATTTGGTTCTGCAAGTGATCCATCCTAACAGACTTTAATCGTCCCCAGCTCTTCCAATTTTGATTTGTTTTACAGTGGTGGCGAGTCCATTCGGCCTTTCAGAACGACAAACATTGCCTCTGTTCCGCAAGTTCTATTTCGGACAATAATCTTAAGTTCAGTCGGAATGGTGTTCACTTTCACTTTGCTGGGTTGAAAGTGAACATTTCACTTGAGCTGTGTACTAAGGCTTTGAACTGATGTTCATCCATGAGATCAACTCCTGCACCACTATATGGTTATGCCTTGACATCTGACAATGACTGTTTCAGAGATATTTCCAGACTTCTTGATGTGTTCATTAACTCTACAGAAGAATTCATCATCTGAACTAGTCAAGTCAAGCTCTTGTTCTGTTGCCTTCTCGACTCTGTCATGATCGTCTTTTCAGTGGTTTCTTTTTGAAGAGTTTTCCATCATTCTCTAACAGAGCTTGTGGTGTTGTACACACACTGGCAAAGTGATTGACTAGTTTTCATTTATCACACTGCTTTTCATATGCTGGACAGTATTTCCCTGTTTTTCCAGTCAGTCCACAATTAAATAGGCCTGTGCCATCCGTTACTTCCGATTTCTTATGCTCTTTTTTTTCTTGTTTCTTTCTGCAAGTCTTGAGAACTGTCTTCTAATTTCCCCACTTTTCCATGATATGTCTTCATGGCTGTTCATGAGACAGTGTCAAGTCTTTTTCTTTATAGCTTTATGACCTGGTCTTCAGTTGTTTGAATGAGGTGTTCTAAGATTCTCTAATTACAACCATCACCAAATTCACATTCATTTGCCTTCTCTCTGCATCTTGCAGCATAAGCCACTATAGGTTCATCACTATTTGGTTTCATCTTCAGAAATACAAATCTTGCTTGATGTTTTATCTTTCTTGGCAGGAAGTAGTCATTCAATTTAGTTGTCAACTTAACAAAGCTATTCATCTGTTGACCTTTTGGAACTAATGAATCTGGCAAACTGTCTGCTAGCCTGTTAATTTCTCTACCTCTATGTATCTATTTCCATCATCTTGAAATATCTAAAATCTCATTCTCTTCCCATTCTTTGCCAGCCAATATAAGGTCTGTTGGTGGTAGAAATTGTGTGCTTTTGATATTCCAGGTCTCTGTCACAACTGTGACATTCTGTCCCACCTTATCCCCCATTGCTATCTGTGAATGGCATGCAGCAAGTTTCTCCAGTGCGATATCTGAGGCCACTACCGCCGATGTGGTTGTGGCACATTTATTGGCACATGCAAGTGACCTGGCAAGCAATGTGCAAAGTTTGAGCGAGTTTGCTATCTGCGTTTAGTAACTGTCTCGTGCAATAAAGCTAGTCATTGCATTCTCGTATCTGAAATGACAGAGGTTCCCTGATATATTGTTCCTCGTTTATATGCAGACTGATGTTGAGAAACATGTAATGAAGTTGTTTCAAACTACTAATCAGCTTATCAAGGGGTAAATAATTGTTTGAAGAACATAAAATCCTAACATCTTTGTTATTGTTTGAAATGGGATTAACATGATACGATATGATTGGTGGCTAATTTTGAAAAAAATTCAAATTTGACGAGACTCAGGGAACAGAATTAATTACCTGTGGTTGCCTAAAGAAATATCTTGTATACTCACTCAATTGTTTTTCATAATGTTAACAACCACAAAGTCTCTTTGCTGTGAGGGACATACCCTCATTTGCTGATGTGTCACATTGGACTTGAGGTCACAACATTGTGTGCATGTGTATTCCTTCATGTATAGAAACCCGTGAGGAGCAAATGTTGTTGTTTTTTCGTTATTTTTTCAGTATGCCATTTTGAGTACATATCATGCCCAGAATTCTGGTCCAATTTTAAACATGACCAGCCATACTGAAAAGGCCATTTTTTAATTACCGGTAAGCTCATCTGGACCAAGGATCAAGTGTACTAGTGTAATGGACTGCTTGTCAGTGTCTGATATTGGCATCATCGGTAAACATCTTCTCCTCTGAACAACAGGGCCAAAGAAGCTCAAACATGATTGTTGAAAAGTTTCTGATTTGATTTCCAATATGTCTCCCAGATGCTTTGTCATGGCTATATATGTTTGTTATTTGTATCATTGTTAATTTTCAGCATGTTTCCATTTCTCAATTGCTCATCTTCTCACGAAACTGGCAAGAAATACAATACGGACTTGTAAGTATTGCCACATGGCATGGTAAGCCATGTTTCTCCTAGAAAATATCCCAAAACAGACATCACATCGACAATTTGAAATTAAATATGGAAAGCTGATGTATTGCCCCATCAAATTATGGAATATTGACAAAGCACACTAGCTTATTAACATGAAAGAAATATGGTATACAGAAATAACACAAAGCAATATAAGTTTTCAAAGGCTATGGAAATACTTATGTTCTGGTTCATAACATGGTAATCTGATCTTAGAGACTTTTTGTGTGACTGTATTATGTACATGTCTTAAGCTTTTTCATACATCCTACTGCTAAGCTTCTAATGATGAAAGCACCAAAACACAATTAATTTTTCAAAATATCCATCATCCCTTTGAGTTTTCATAACAAAAGTCATTAAGTTTTATGTTCAAGTATTTAGTTGCATTAGCCAGATGCGCTTTAACTTGTACATAACATTTTTGTCTATTTGCATTCCAAGCAGGAATATTTATATGCTTTAGGTTGTATAATGAATTTGTACATTTGACCGAATCGATCGATTGTGTAATATTTAGATTTTATTTGTCTTTATTTTATATTCATAAATTTAAGCTGTGGCTTTGCACCACATTACAAATGTGTGTGGATAACATCAAATGTTGTGCAATGACTTGAGACTTTTATACATTCTTTTGTCAGATGCATGTATGTTATTTATTGTTGTAAATGTTCAATTGCATATTATAAGCTGGACACTGTGCAATAATTACACTTATATATTTTATATTGAAAAATGCATAGTAGCTCAATATTGTTTCAAGGAAAATTGCAAATCTTTTTTCACAATGAGAAAGGCTACTAAATAGCATTAGTGATGGTACTTGCAAAAGTGATGTGATTTCTTTTCTTTTTTAAATTTATTTATTAGAGTGATACGATTTATCAACACTTGAACTTCTAGTACCATAACAGTTTGTGTTGGTTTTTTTACACTGAATAACAGGGGGCATAATTTTGAATGAAGCATAATGTTCTTTGTAATTTGAATAAATATATTTTCATACTGAAATCTTAGTTGTTTTATATACTACTTTGAACACTCCAAAAATATCTAAGACTAAAATTTATAAAAACTTTTGAGCTGCAAGCTATGATGAATTATGGATACCCAGTCTCGAGTGACTTTCAACAATATTTATGACGGACAGACAATATGTAATTCTGAGTTGCATGTTGGTAAAAAGGCTTGAAGACTTTTTTTTAACTTAAAACAATTTCTCTTATCTCTATTGTTTGAGGGGCATGGGTAACCCAGTTATCTAAGGTTGCTGTACTGAGATGCATCACTTAGGCTTGCCTGAACCCTGGGTTCAAATCCCAGATTTGCCCTAATTATGTTTCTAAATTTTTCAGGGCTAGACCCGAGCTTGTTGGTTTCACCGAGTGGTAAACCTACATCACTGCTGTCTTTCCTCTCACATCAAGCTGCCACTCTGTGATATAACTGGAATACTTTTCAATGCAACATTAAACCCAACTCACTCATGATAAAATAACAAACCTAAGCAAAGTTGAAAACCTGCATCAATTCCGAGCAAACAGACTCTTATGGATAATGCAAAAAGCCGCATGGGAATGTTTATGTAGAATTTACAGGGATATATCTATGCTTTCCCAGTGGCCAGTATTAAGAAGTAAATCTCTCGAAAAAATGTCACCGTGTAATTCTCCATTTGTGTGTTTTAAGAATTTTCAATGCTATACCGGTAGTAATATCTCAATGGACTAAACTCTACCATGGATATTTTCATTATTGAAAATAAGTATAAATAAATAAATAAATAAATAATGATGTGTTTGATTCAATTTATAGTAGAAAGTACATGTTTTACATGGATCAAAACAAATTCACAACATATGACTACAAAATTTATCATTATCCAAATGCACTTGTAACAGGCATGAAGTGTAAGTTCATGGATACATTTCTTGTTGTGAAAAATTCACTCTTACTACTCGGACGATTTAAAGTTACATTACCATCAGATACATTATATACACAGAGCTCCAGAAAAGCTGCGTATCTGCGTAAAAAACGCATCAGAAATGCAGAAATACGCAGTAAAACAAAATCCAAGCGTATCAAATACGCAACGAACATTACAGATACGCTACAAAAATAAAACTTGTGCGTATCATCAAAATATTGTGAAGTAACCCTGCGTATTCGATTAGCAAATCAGCAACTTATTTTGAAATTATAAACGAGCATTCCGTCAACCTTGCCAAACCCCACGATGGCAGTTACATCATGATCATTTGCCATCACACTTTCTTGTGGAAGTATCGTGGTATTTTTTAGTCCTATAAAGCTCTGGAACCCACACGACACCAGTTTGCAGGGACTAGATGAATAGTGTTTTTAAATATTTAACTTAAATACCCACATGTGTAAAAACTAGGGGGTAACAGAAATTTGAAAACCCAAATAGAATTACTGATACCCAATGATTTTAAAATGCATGGGTAAAATACCCACAACACCAAAAGCTTATCTGGAGCTCTGTATACATACTGTATTTACAAAAAATAGATAATTTAAAGAAGCTGAAGAAACTTTATGGAATGAAATTTAACTCGCTCATCATGTATCCAAATGAACTATACAACACAAAAACAACAATGCAAACGCTGAATATTTGGGGAATGAAAACACATAGTTGCTATAATAAGGGCATATTAGTGACTCGTGTATGCACAACATAATGCCACTACAAACAAAACTTCAGTATGTTTCGAAAAAGAACAGAGTTTTGATATATACATCTAGGCTGCATTTAATAGGAGATCTGTAGATTGTTTGGCCCAGATATTTTATACAAGAGTCATCAGGAGATGACACATCCTCCCAGACTGGTGCAATTCAGAAATGGAGTTTGGCTACTAATACTCCACTTTAGTTCATTGCCATTGGATACTTTTAATTCTGTGAAGATGAGAATAATTCTGTTCACTTTTCAAAAGGCACTAGTTCTTCACTAGACTGATCTGCATAGCAAGTTTAATCTTCAAATATTTACCGGTTTGGGAGTTCTGCTCTGGAAACGAGCACTACCCTACAAAAGTCCAATTTGTCATCATGAAATCATAAAAAAGACAAAAAATTAAAATCCCAAATCATCAAAAGGCACCAGTAGAGCACATCTCAAAATAAAATATGTAACAGTTTTGTAGTTTTGCTCTGGAAACGAGCACTACCCTCATTTTCAGTGTAAGTCCAACTTGCCATGAAAACATAAAATGAAAGCAATAAAAATCCCAAATTATCTAAAGGCACCAGTTCATAGTTAGACAGATCTATATAGCAAGTTTCAACATGAAATATTTAACAGTTTTTTTAGTTCTGCCTACGAAAGCGGAAAACAACTTGTTTTCATCATGAAAAGTCATGAAAAAAAAAAAGAAAAAAAAAAATGAATAAAAATCCCAAATCATTGCAATATCCACCCGTTTTTCAAACCCGGGTGATAAACAAAAGACATAATATTTTCAGGATCCTGCAACTGGAATGGTACTTCCTGGCCAAACTTCAGTGTTACATCTGGGACTTACATCTAATTTGTTCTTGTGCCATATGGCCCTTTAATATGTGTGCCACTGGTATCAGAAACCAAGGATTACATACATGTACATTTGACACTATTTAGAAACTTTAGAAAGTTTTTTAGTTCCTTTAATGCAAATTAATACATCTATCCCTAAGTATATGTAAATGATAATAATTATCAGGTCTGTATTACAATAGCATTTCCACAACTTCGCTAAGATGTGTATTTTCTAAGCTTTAAGTAAAGCATAGGAACTTGTCACTTATCGTTATGATTTCATAACAGTTATGCCAAAGTGCAGTCTAGGTACATTTGTATACCGGGATTATTTATTTGCTACAGATTTAGTTTCACTTGCTGCAGTAAGAATGTGTGAGTGTCCACTGGCTTCAAGGTTGTCTTTTCACTCGCTCTTTCGGTGAGAATCCAGCATTTGTCATCATTCTGCCATATTTCTCAATGTGTTGTTTCTTTTTCTGGAACAAAGTCAACAGATGTTATTTGACAAATCATTTTGAAATTTTATGCCATACATCCGACTCAGTGTGTTTTGAAATTTTGAAAACTTACAAGTAATGTTCCTGGTAGAAGTAATAAGAAATACGTACATCATACAGTCTGTCTTTGTCTTTCATGATTCTTCGTCTTTTCAGAGCCTGCAGGGAAGAAGATGTTACATTTAGCATCTACATATTACACCAAGCATATATCACAAAACACTCCAGTAATCCATAGTTTACACTGATTTTTACAGAAACCTGAATTTTCTTTATTAAAACTTGAGAATATTTGCTGGTCTGCATTATGAATATTTCACTTTTTCTGAGACAAATATTTTTTCTATCTAAATGATTTAATAAAACTGCACAATTTAAAAAGAAGAACGGACTGTACATCCTTTGAACACAGTGCACTTATAACTGCCATGTCTAATTCAAACTTTACTATAGTGGCACTAGAAAATCACTCACCATGTTAACAGTGCTGGATTAAAGTTTGACTGAGAGTATTTAACTTGTATAAAATATTTCAATCACATCTCTTTCATCTGTATGAACACATCATAATATCTATATGTCATGTACTAATTGTTTTTAGGTAACTGATAAAAACACTTGTGTATTTACATCTTTCCCTAAATTGCTAAATGTAGTGACATTCCATTCATGATGTTATACAGCTCTTTGACAATTTGTGAATTATGCTTATTATTTGATTACTGGAACACTTTATTCTAAAGTATGTCATAACTGATAAAAACATACCAAGAACATCCTTAAGAACTTGTCTTACTGCACTAACAGTGTTTGACACTGACCAAAGTTTGTCAGTGGTCCAAAGGACCAGCACATAGAAAAATCTACTGGTCCTGTTGGATCCACGTTCGATTCCCCACGCGGGTACAATGTGTAAAGCCCATTTTCTGATGTCCCCTGTTATGATATTGCTGGAATATTGCTAAAAGCAGAGTAAAACCATAGTCACTCACTCACTGCTTTGTGGTAGTAATGTTTAGCTTTGAGCATGCTGGAGCGTGTGAATTTGGAGCATTTTAGATTTTGCAGACAATTACTACATTAGTATCATTACAATAGACATACAAATTGTACATTGTGTGATTTTGGAATAACCTACCTAATCAATGAACATGTAATGTCGAAATACCAGTGTTTTTGAGATGATTATAATATTAAAACAACCTACAGTGTGTTGGATGTAAATCCCCATAAGGACATGGAAGAGGAAGAGAAGTATGGCAAGAGAAGACTCGCTCCATCGATCCCAGCTGCGCAGTTCCTTGATAGGTATCATCCTTCCTAGAGCACACATGAAGGCACACTCAGTAGATTGCAGGGACAGGAATATCAACAGTGACAGAATATAGATGTCCTGAAATATGGAAAAGTTTCACATAACTAGAAAGTCATCTACAAGAGGATGACTAGATAAGAATTCTAAATGCCTCAAGTAACTTATTTGGGGATGATTCCCATATATAAAGATTTCATGGGGGTCAGTTTGGTTCTTTGATTCTGGAGCAATAATGGTATTGGTAACCTGGCACTTCTATGTTGGCGATACCTGGTCCATCACTTCACAGGTAATCTGTCGCTTTACCCATCAATTTATAGCAGTGTTTATAATCCAAAATGTCCAGATATACAGATTTCCATTGTACTCAGAAAATAGTCAGAATTTGAAATTAGACATGAAAGTCAAGCAGTCCTAATGCTTACGAAACTTCTACCTCTATTACATATCTGCCATAAATGCTGTATTTTGGCTTCAATCACACTAACTAATATTTTCAGATTTTCAACACACGTCCTCTTCACTGTCAATTACACACAATTAGTTGCCGCCAAGTATACTCGTAACTGCCCATGCCATGACATCACAATGGCGGTCATGTCACTTTTTTCCTGTGTGTTCTAGAGTCAACACCTACTATAGTAGTAGTGACAATCTAGCACATGGTAGATTATTCTATTAAGATTGCTATAATAACAGACATATTTATAAATATATATTTAAAGTCATAGTGCTGCTGGGATCAACAAGCATGTGAGTATAGCTGGTGTTGGGTTTGTGAGGTTGCCATGCACCACCCACGGGTGTAAGAAGTGTGGTCGATTTATGATCACGGGAGATCCTCATATCAACTGCACAAAGTGCAGAGGAAAGACCTGCACCATGGAGAAGAGATGTGAACAATGCAGCCACACATCCAAAGAGATCTTCTCCAAGATGTCAGAGGCAGCGACTAAGGCCAAGAGGAGAGAGGCGGCGAAGAAGAAAGTTGACAAGATTACCACTGAGAAATCAGTGTCTACCCCAGCGCCTCCCTCTCCAGCGACCCCATCATCTCCTGCACTCACCATGAGTCTCCTTCAACAACTACTGGGAGAACAGCTGGAGATGATGAAGGACATGCTTGAAGCTAAGTTGTCTGATATGGACGCAAAGATCGCGATGGTAGCTCTGGCTAAGACTACCAGATCCTTGTCCACAGCCGGGGCCAGTCTACACAAGATCTACAAGCTGAGACACACGGCCAGTCCATGGACCACGTCCAAGCCATGGGGCTGGACGCCTCACGAACTCCATGGGCCAGCCTACCGACCACGCCTTACCGTTTGACCAACAGGACCAAAGTCAGTCGCACGGACTCCACGGGATTACCCAGCCAGCCGTCCAACCAACAGGCCAGCCATGGCATGGCTACCATTTCCAATGGGCTACAACCCTCACAGAGACAGATTATACCAGAATCATGGTCACCGGACGATGGCGAGCTCTACGGGGCAGAAGCTGAGGGATACAATTACCCACCCCCCACGGGAGATTCCCAAGGCTACTCAGAGCTGGAATCAGAGGGTTTGGAGGAGCTTGACAACTCACCCCAACGATATTTCAGTGAAGGCTACACTTTTGTGGAACTTATCGAAGAGCTTTACCACCTTATGCCTACACTTCGTGACAGAGGATTCACCACCCCAAATGCCAGAATACTTATCAGCCTAGATCTTACAGATTCATATCTTCACGTGCCGACACACCCATCATCTCGGAAATATCTACGCTTCGCAACCACTTGGCCCACGTTACGAATTCCAAATCCTACCATTAGGAATAGCAATTGCACCATAGCTATTCACCAGAATTACAGCGCCAGTCATCAAGTTTGCCCATATCAAGCTAGTTTGAATCCATGGTTATCTGCCAATTTCTTAGTGGCAGAGCAAGGGAAAAATCAGCAACAGCAGAACATGATATTCTTAGTTCAACATATGACTAACCTTGGTTTCCTAGTCAACCAAGCCAAGTCAGAGATATCTCCGGTCCAAGACATTATATACATCAAAGCAAGATTCAAGCTAGACAGGGGATAGCTGTGTCCACCAGTGGATTGATTCGACAAGACCATAAAGATGATCCAATCAATCACAAGTCAACCCAGCAAGTCGCTGAGGTGGTGGATGTTTCTTCCAGGCAACTCTGCAGGATATGACCTTCAGAGGAAGGCTGAGACTACATCCTCTACAGACATGGGTAAACTCTATACAATCAAAGGGCCTAGAGTTCCAGTCACAGTTATCTCCCACTTTGCTACAAGACCTCCATTGGTGGAATCACAGAGAACATGTGATGAGTGGCATCCCCCTGTCTTATCCAACGCCAGAACATCTATCATCAGTTCTCATAGCCACAGACACCACCACAGTAGTGGCATATATTCAGAAGCAGGGAGGAACCAGATCCAACTCCATGATGAAGGAGACTACATGATTGTTTGCCTTAGCAGACTCCTTCAACTGCAAGATGGAAGCAAGACATATACCAGGGAAACTGAACATGCTGGCCGACAGCTACTCACGTAGGGGGAGAATAGTGTCAAATGGACATTACATCAACAGATCTTCAGCTGGATAACCAAGATATGGGACATGACACACATAGATCTATTTGCCACCTGCCAGAACAACCAACTCCCAGTTTATGTCAGTCCAGTTCCCGACCCAGGAGCTCACCAGATCGACGCTCTTTCGATGGATTGGACGAATCTATTCGGCTACGCATTCCCACTATGGTCTCTCCTAGACAAGGTCATCCACAAGGTGGACGAGACAAATTGCGTAATAATACTGATAGCCCAGTATGGCCCAGCAGGGCATGGTTCCCCAGACTATTAAAGCTACTACTGGAGGAACCCATACAGTTACCACTTCGTCAGGATCTGCTACAACAGCCCAGGTCCAGCATATTCCACGAAAATCTTTTGTGGCAAGATCGTGGCGAACATCCTCCTCCCTTTTATATGACAACAGATGGGACAAGTTTGTCCAGAAGAGAAGACGACTAGATATTATTGATAATGCTGTATCAATCCCTATGATAGCGAACTTTCTTCTTCATCTACATCAAGACAATAAATTCAGACACAGGACGATAGAAGGTAACAGATCAGTCCTTCATTCTGTAGTTTAACATGATGGATAATCTATCAGAAACAATCCCATCCTCAACAGATGAATGAAATCCTTTCTACAAGAAGATATTAGGACCCCTCATCTCTTGCCCAAGTGTAATCTATCTGTGGTATTATCGGGACTGTTCACGGAACCTTACGAACCAATGGCGAAGGTTGCCTGACTTAAAAAAGCCAGGAAAACATTGTTTCTGATAGCCATGGCTACAGCAGCAAGAATTTCGTAGTTACATGCTTTAGACTATTCTAGTCTTACCCATGATCAACATTGGACTTCTATAACAATAAGATCGCTCCCAGATTTCGTAGCCAGGAACCAATCTACCACAATGGGACCGTTGGGTCATAGACACTATACAATCCCGGCATTAGGACTAACAGTGGATCAACCAGACAGACTCTTATGTCCCATCAGAGCTCTCAAGTTCGGCAAGGGGGGGGGGAGGATCTGACACCAGCAGCATCAAAGGGTAAGTACACCCCTGATCACTCTGCTTAGTAGGACATGTAGGATGGATTAGAAGCACCTTAAATGTCATCTATCACCATTAACCGGAAGTGACGTCAGCACCGGAAATAGCTGAACAAATCCCTTCTAACCAAGAAATGACGTCTTTGGTTGGTTGGTTTGTTGTTTAACGCCGCACTCAGCAATATTCCAGCTATATGACGGTGTTCGGTAAATAATCGAGTCTGGACCAGACAATCCAGTGATTGATATCATGAGCATCGATCCACGCAATTGGGATCGATGATATGCATCAACCAAGTCAGCGAGCCTGACCACCCAATCCCGTTAGTCGCCTTTTACGACAAGCATGGGTTGCTGAAGACCTATTCTACCCCGGAATCTTTACGGGTCTAAAGAGACGTCATTACCAAAAAGAGGAAGTGACATACCAGAAGTGACATCAGAACCAGAAGTGACGTCAGAACCAGAAGTGATGTCAGAACCGGAAGTGATGTAATCGCTGGTATTATAGGTCACTAATCCAGGTTTATTATGGTCAAAATCAGCAAATATAACTGTAAATCTAGTAATAATATCACATATTTGACCGATTATTGACATAGTTTCTCATTTTCAAGTCCTCAAGGGGAATTTCAGAGGAAATTATCTCAGTAGGATTACAATCAGTACATTATGGTTTCCAATAGAGGATTGCTGTCAATTACACAAGGAGTTACTAGAGGCAGATCCCACCGGGTCCCTCTGGTATATTCTGGCAGATATGTAATAGAGCTAGAAGTTTTGTAAGAATTATCGAACAATAGTTATTATTGTTAATAATTCTAAGAATACTACCTCTATTACATACGAATTACTCCCCTCCACCTCCCAAATTCATCAACCTCTAGTAGGAGATGAGGGAAAAAAGTGATATGGTCGCCATTGTGACGTCACGGAGTGGTTGGTTACGAGACTACCTGGCGGCAACTAATTGTGTGTAACTGACAGCGAAGAGGACGTCTGTTGAAAATCTGAAAATTTTAATCAGTTTGATTAAAGCCAAAATACAGGATTTATGGCAGATATGTAGTAGATAATCTTAGAATTATTAACAATGATAACTATTGTTTGATTTCCAAATAAAAGATTTAGAGGTCTCGACTGAAATACTACAGCTGCAAACCTTAACCCCTTTAATTTTAAGCTGAGTCAAGATATACTGAATACTTACCAAGTAGGTCAAATAGGATATGGTTGGTAAGCTTTGTTTGACCACTAGCTTGAAGGCCACAGCTGTCAGGAACAGAGTGATGCAAATGCTGATACGATCACCATTGTTGGGTTCGATGGAGACCACAGTAAAAGTCAATGAGACAATCAGAATCTGGAAGGATATAGTGAAGTGCCCTGACATATAGCATTGTTATAGAATATGTCAAAGCTGTGTATGGTCAGTTTTCTGAAATAATGCACACCTGTTCATGACAATGTTAACATCTTTTAATGATTTTTATATAAGTCATAATTGTAATGATACCCGAAAAATAGAAAAAGTCCCAACACCAACTTCTTGTAAATAGCACAAACTGACCTCATCCACATACATCAACATTCAATTTTAATAAATTTTAATCAATTGTTATGTAAATAAAGAAGTTATACACAGTTCTATTTGAATAACACATAATAACTTCTAGCTTGGGAAAACATATGTCCAAGATTTGTACAATGCATTCTGACTTTAAAATAAAACAATCCATACATATAGCTATCTTTTCGAAAAAGCCGAAAAGAGCAACTCATAAATTATAACAGAAATTAATACAGAGAATGCAAATAATATCTTACCACTCACTTTGCATTTTTTTACATAAACAGGAAAATTTCTAAAATAAACAACACGTACTTCATATATATTTTATCATTCAACCAGGGAGTCTCCCTGACTAAATCCACATTCTCACCATGCCTTTACATACTTCACACAAACAGGCAATATTCTGAAATTTTTGTTTCTTTTCCTATATGACAAAATATGAATTATCACAACAGCAATGAATGATCATAAGAAATCTGACAGTTTTTGTGCAGACCTTCCTTGAATGGCTTCCCTGTCTGAATGATAATCAGAAATGAAACAGTTGTAAAAATGACCAATATGAACATAAGTGGTCATATCTTAACCTGTACGTCCAATCTAATTTCCTTAAGAGAAGTGTGATCACAAAATCTATTGTTTGAAATGAATCAGTTACTGCCACATGTGTATATATTTATCTATTCCTATTGTTCTTTGAACCACCCTAAATAATGTATAAGTCAAATTCCAAACATAATAATTGAAGATGAGGTATCACAAGTACTTTTTTCATTAGTTGCTACATCAAGTATGTAGTCTCTAACATCTGTTATTAGTTCATGCTTGAGAAATAAAATGGTGATGGTGGTGATGAAATTTGAGCAAACGCATTAACAAGCCACCCTTAAGCTTATCAGATGTGTTTCATGCTTCCCCTAGCTTTGTAGAAATTGTTTAATTTTTTTTTTTTGTCAATAACTTATTCATTCTAAAATACACAAAATTTTATCAGCTTTTTCACATTTCATCATTTTCCACATTTTAAAATAAAATGTGACAACCTTCTTATCACTGACCTATATTCCTAATACATGTATCATTCCTCCCCTACATAGATAAGCTATGTCCCAAAGTCTTAAAGCAATACTGGTTATGTTACTATAACACAATCCAATGTAAAAAATCTTACCATGATGACGATTATGTTCCAAATGTAGAAGCCAACCTTACGCTTGACCCTGGACTGGACATGAAGGATGGGATGGGAAGACAGACTCGCATATTCCATGGTGGTATTGTCACGGAATGATTCTACATGGTGGTAAATATTCCACTCTTGAGCATCAAGGAATGTGTGTGTGTTGACAGTACTCAGCATATGTTGGTCCTCTATTAGTTCGATTTTGGCGACAGGTCGTTCAGTGCCAACTTGAATTGTCAAATCCTATAAATAGTTTATGAAAACTATTGGAACAAAATTACAAAATAAAATATCTCTTTGCAACTCTTAAACTAGAAAAACAAAATATTGCATGTTGATACAAAGTAGAGTGTAAGAACCATTAATAAACAACATTTGGTAAACTAACATTTACCCTTTCCTTTTTATTTTATAACGGAAGTCTCTAATAATGAGCATGCCCATTTCTGCTGTGCAATGTGTACATTTCACTCAATTTTTACATCTGATGCACTAAAAAATCGTATGCAAAGAGTATAAGCTAAGAAAATGCAAATTTAATCAATCATACTTTCAAGAAATGCTTAGTACTAATATTGCTTTATTTCTGTTCATGTGTATACCTCAATCCTACAGTTTTGAAACAAAGTAAAAAGAGAGGCCTTAATACTTTGCTTATATTAATGATAAAGTTTTCATATTGCCAAATAACCAAATATTTTCTAAGTTGATATACTTTTCTTAAGATGATTCTAGATATCAGAACTGATTCCTGTTCATGAACTACCTGCACATCAAAAGGAAAGTGTTGTAATTCCATATTCTCTCGAAATGTTCCTTTAAATCTCCACAGCAGTAGCACGATTGGATGTCTGTAGTTTTTATCATGCCTGACAGAGAATGACTTGCGATCAAGAGACATATCTTCACAGTTTAGGATTATCAGCTTGGGATCCCAGTGAATCTTTGAGTCGAACTTGGGAAGTTTCTGAAAATAACATTGAAACGAGGTTCTAAGTATGAATCAATGTTGTCTTTTACATCGACTTGATTCCATGGAGAACTTTAATTGGTAATTCAAATAGATTAAAACAATATTAAACATTTAGCAGAAATAAGCTTGTTAGGACATTTTGTAATTGTGTTCATTGATTGTAATCATCACTATCATCATGACTTCAGCTCAATACAAGAAATTCAACTAAATTTTATTGTAAGTTTGGCATATATGATCAGGATTTTACAACTATCATTTTATATTATGTTGACTACATACATTTGCTTTGCCTTGAGGATTTGAAAAAGCTGGTTCTTCCCATTTTGCCTGAAGAAATATCTCTGCTTGAAATTCTTGGCTAATTGTGTCAATGTCAACTATCTTCAGGAATGCACATTTCACCTCCACTGTTACCTGAAGTAGACAGAAGAACAATGATGACAACTATTAAATAGGAATAGGAGACTGGAATTAAACAGAGCAAAGGAAAGTTGACATCATATCACATAATTTAGTTGTGTACAGTTATGCTGCATCTGTTTGTAAAGGTATCAGAAAAAAATGTCAATGCAAAGAAAACAATTCTTTGATATCTGAATACCTTTTCTGCTTTTACGATATCATGAAAACCTGCAGTTGGATCTGTTGATATGTCCTTTATTGTCTGTAAACTTGACAAAAGAACTTGGCTGTTCTGATCCAGCGTGACGCTCATGCGTCGAAATGTGTCCGCCAAAGGATTATTTGCGTCCATGTTTTGTCAGATCTCTGCAAAAGAAACGGCAGAACTATCATCTGTCGAGTTCTTTGCAGTATAACATGCTGAATTTTGCGAATATGTTTATTCACCTTCAAGAAACATACACGAAATGGTAGTTATTATTCTCAGCGAACCGCCCAACATCTACTTTGTTAAGAAGTTTAAGAAAAAGTATCATTGTGAAGCGTTTGCGACATGTTCCGTTATGTTCAGTTGGGGGTAGGTGTAACTTGCTAAATGTTGTCATATACACCTTATCAAGAACTGTAAAGCACTAATGCTGTTTAAAAACACACACAAACGTGCACGGTCATACATTAAGTTAAAACTTTGACAATAAAGAACTGGAAAACTCCAGTCATTTTCCTTCAGCGTCACAATGGCTAGCAGACGAATTTCTTCAAAGGGAGGTAATACAGATAATATACGCAAACATCCTCTAGTAAAAGGAATTACCCCACAACCTACAGGACAATTACCAATAATTACCTTTTTAGTGATGAGGTGATAATAATAGTACAAATACTTTTCTCAAATAAAGTTTAATGGGTTTTATTAATTTATGATTTGCGCTGAGTCCATGATTAAATAAAGCTCATGTTTGATAATATGATGGGACCAAAATTACTGGCTCGGGATGATGGTGCTTGCGACAAAATTAAGTAAAATCACATCATTTACATTACATCAACCTTATGATATATGGTGAAATTCAGGAGCGTGATTTATCTGACAGAGAATATAGCTTATATATGGTGTTGATTTTTATACCGTAGATAATTAGTACCGATAATAATAAATATTGCGACCGAAATACACACATATATCATGCATCTTCACTTGTCGGGCTCAGGAAATAAAATTTGAAATCTTATGTTTGTTTGTTTATTTGTGAGTGAGTGAGTGAGTGAGTGAGTGAGTGAGTGAGTGAGTGGGTGGGTGGGTGGGTGGGTGGGTGGGTGAGTGAGTGAGTGAGTGAGTGAGTGAAATGTTATTATTTACCTGTACCAACACCCAGGACCGCCTCCGTGGTCTAGTGGTAGAGCGTCCGCCCGAAGAGCGGAAGGTACGGGGTTCGATCCCCGGCCCGTCATTCCAAAAGACGTTAAAAGATGGTACATGTTGTTACCCTGTCTGGCGCTTGGCATTAAGGGGTCAAAACAAAGACTGGTCAGCTCGATGTCAGTATACTGTGTCTGAGTGGGGTAATAATCGGCATTAGTCCGGACTTGTACAACCAGCCAAACACATATATACGTGCATGCTTTGTTTGTTTGTTTGTTTGTTTGTTTGTTGTTTAACGCCGCACTCAGCAATACTCCAGCTATATGACGGCGGTCTGTAAATAATCGAGTCTGGACCAGACAATCCAGTGATGGAATCATGGAAGTCATGAGTATCAATCCACGCAATTGGGACACGATGACATACATCAACCAAGTCAGCGAGCCTGACCACCAGATCCCGTTAGTCGCCTCTTACGATAAGCATAGTCACCTTTAACGGCAAGCATGGGTTGATGAAGACCTATTCTAACCCGGATCGTCACGGGTCCACGTGCATGCACGTAGCTAAATAAGTGCAATAGTCTTGAACGCGACGTTAAACCCCATTTCACCTTACTAACGCCCAGGAATGTGTGTTTATCATACGCGATATTGAATGATGACCATCAAAAGACTTTTTTTTTGTGCCACGGCAGGAAACAAAATGCCTGATCACATGAAAACATAAGACAGAACCGTTTTATGGGTTCTATAGGTAGTTGTGTAAGTATACTGAACCAAATTAAAAACCTCACAATCCTAAAATTTTAACATTTTGACCAGTTATCATTGTGGGCCCTTATTGTGTATTTAAACAGTAATGGACACGTATTGTCTTCAGATAACACCCGTTTTTGTGCAGGTGAATCGATCAAAATCATGTGCACAGCACTATAGTGGCAAAAGTGGTTTTTCACGTGCAACTGGTCACGTAGCCATAATACCGCACGTGTTTTCAGACATACATGTTAGCAGTCATTACAAAAAAAGAAAAACACAAGAAAACAAAAGTCTTTACAGCCATTTGTCATGCCACGCCTTTCAAATGTGCAACGTGAACGTGCCATCGGCATGTTGCAGACGGGAACGTCCGTAGCTGAAGTCGCAAGGACGATGGGTTGTAGTCGACGGACTGTTTATGATTTACAGACGCGTCTACAGCAAACGGGTACCACCGCTGATCGCTCCCGGCCAGGTCGACCACGTGTGACGTCACATGCAGAGGATCGTCAGATTGCTTTACGTCACCTCCGTAACCGATTTTTGACGGCTACATCAACCAGAAATGAACTGTTTAGGGGTAGACTGAGTGCGCAAACTGTTCGAAACCTTCTGAGAACTGTTCACCTTCAAGCACGACGGCCATACTACGGGCCGATTCTGACTCAATTACACAGACGTCAAAGTCACATGGACCCGGTTTGATCCTCAGAATGCGGGAGTCAACGTCATGGACTGGCCGTCAAGGTCTCCCGACCTCAATCCCATCGAACACGTCTGGGATGCTCTTGGCAGAAGTCTGCGCACTCTCCAGAGCCAACCACAGAATTTGCAAGATCTTGGCACCATTTTGCAGCAACAATGGCGTCGTCTTCCCAATCATGTGTTCACAAGCATCACAAGGTCCATGCGGAGGCGTTGTGTGGCAGTTGTCAACGCACATGGTGGCCATACACGCTACTGAACTTGTGTGCCATCAGATTCTCGTGCTTGGGACTTATGATTTAAACTGTTGATGTTATTACCGAATACCGTAGGTGCTTGGAACAAAGTATGCATGGTTACCACCGTTAATTAAAATCATTCTTTGGACATTAATGATCAAAAATTACCTTCTCTGATACATTTGTCCGTTGTATATCATATATGGGATTACTTTTACAAATGTGAAGTTTTTAATTTGACTCAGTATATATATTTTTGTGACGTTTTTCATTTATTCACATCAATAATTATTGCATATATATAAATATAAATACATTGGCCACCGTCTTTCAGTTATGTTAAAAATGAACGTTGCGGTATCCTAATGTTTGAAACAAACAGCAATAATTAGTAAAGTGTCCCTTCAGCGTTAGAAACTGGCACTAGTCCTATAGTCCTTGCCAAACTGTCCTATAGTTAAGGTATCATAAGGACAAGTAGAAATTTGCCCTTTTTAAGGATTTTGCTGTATATGTTATCATAATAAGGACTAATGGACGAAAACTATTAGTTTCCACCGCTGCCCTTATTCAAGTTTGGTATAATATACGATTGTTTCCATGTTAACCATAACTTTGCAACCTTTTACATTAACTAATTGTTTTACGAAATATTTAGTTTCATATTGTTAGTACTTGAAACACTACAATCTGATAACAAAATTTACATATTAATTGAAGTATGTTTCATTTAATACATTTTCAATTTATTTTGGCGACAAGCAAATATGCCAAACGAAATGTTACCATAGCTGAGGTCTGGTGTTGCCATACTGATAAAGGACACCACGTGACAGCTGTTGTAGAAATGGTAGGACAATCGGACGAAGAATGCCATCCATGTAACGATGTCCAGTGACCTGCCCATAAATTCCTCCCCACAACATAACACACCAAACGGTACGACCTCTTGAACGCAACATGCCTCCGTTCGTTCTCCCCTTCGGGGTAAACACGCTGTCGTCCATCAGCTCTGAACAGACAGAACCAGCCGCCAGTTTAATAAAATAAAGTCAAAGACTTTGCCAGTGTAAACAGTATTTTTACAACCAAGTTTTTTTCAATCAGTGATGCAAAGGAACCCACGAACAAACGTACGCGTCAGATAGATTTCATTTTTTTTTATAGATTTACTATTGACATGCTTTTGAAATTTAATGTTGAACATCACAGTTTTTGACAAGCGACAGTAACGTATGCTTGAGATTGAACATTCCTTCACATTTTGTTCTCAAGAGAACGAAATGAATGCATGTGGTGTCACGTGTTTCTGACAGTCAGTCTGAGCTCAAAACTGACATGTTCTCCCATATATCAAAGCTGTGTGATGTGAGGCAAACAATGGCGGCCTCAATGTACAGAATTATTGAGGACAATTTAATGCGGAATTAACACACCAAGTCTGAGCGGAAATATATTTCGGATTCGTTCAATTACTGAAAGAGGTTAATCCTTTTATTTAAAAAAAAGTAGGCCGAGACACATTGTATGTTTTATATTGATATTTTGTTGCATACTAACTGTTCAATGCATCTGTGTACATTAACTATTGACGAATTCGACAAATTGATTTATTATCTGTGTTTATCTGTGCACTCACTTCTGACCATGGGTAAAATGTTTAATGAAGCGAGTGAATGTTGTTTTACATCGCAGGCACCATTATTCCGTGGGTGTGGGTGTGGGGGGTGTGTGTGTGGGGGGAGGGGGGGGGGGGGGGGAGGGGGGAGGGGGGGGGGGAGGGGGGGGGGGGGGGGGTCCGGGCCCCCGCCTCTTTGAAAACCAAATGTAGACAACCCTCTCACTGAGAGAGGATTTTGTTACTGTATGATTTGTAAATGTATGATTTGCCGGGTGGGTTGGAACAGGATGAAAACAGCCACAGAGAGAGCGAGAGAGAGAGAGAGAGAGAGAGAGAGAGAGAGAGAGAGAGAGAGATCTATAATATCGACTTGTGATTGACAAATCCTGTCATATAACACCTACCGAATCTTCACACACAGATATACTATTTAAAAATAACCCGATCCTTTCGTGTAGTTAATCTGCCCTGCCGTCTTTTGAGTAGTATATCTACCACTGTAAGATCTAACGTACCCATGACAATAGTGTATTGTGTGTGAAAATCAGCATTCCCAATTTGGAATTATGTGATTTCTATAGGAACCCTCCCCGCAAATAGGTTTGATAATTCTTCTCGTTGCCTTTATTCACCTTTTTATGAAATATTAACAAAACAATTGTGAGAAGTGTTGGTCATTGTATAAAATTCGTTTATGAATGTTGGTAAACTCTCTTTTACGTTTTGTTAATATTAAACCTACCCTTAAGAATGTGTATTTTGGTAATAGCCCCTAATTGTATCCTATCAGGAATGAAAGTCAGGAACTTGAGTATTGTTCATCTATGTTCCCTTTAAATTAATGACCAGTATCGGGCAAAATGGATCATACTTGTAAGTGCAACGTTAGGAAGTCGTTGTCATTGAAATAGAAGGTCCATTTTGACGGTTTTCGTAAAATGTATAAGAGGTTAGATGAATAATCGCATGGCCCTTTACAAAGTTTGAAGTGTTCGTCAAAATGATAACACACAGTACTGTGTGAAACGCTGTAATATTAAAGAGAAGGTATAATATTTCTAAAGACCATCTGCCTTTAAAACATGTGTTCGACAAAAACGGAAAGAGAGCAGAAAAGAAACTTAAGGGAGCAATCTCTCCCATCTAATCCATCTGCAAATCAAAGGAAACAAGCACCTGCAGGGGCCAACAAGTTGGGTAAATATTAGGAGACATCTGATTGGCTCGTCTAATGTTCATTTAGCCAATCAACACGCACCTCTCATGGCTTTGCCTGCTACAGCTCTAAACATGGACGATCGAGGCAGATTTTTGACTGACATTTGTGATTATCGCAATATGTCTGGTCACTGAAGGCACCGCAGACAGATATCAGCAGGTAGGTTGACATTGGAGCAGTTTATTTCGAATGAAAAATTACAGTCAAGGCGCGAGAAGACGTTTTGATCAGGGCCGAAAGTCTTACAACCCATTGTTTCCCTTGCAATTTATGCAGCTCGTCAAAGTGGACTACGTCTCCTAATTTCGTGACAGTACATGGAATATCCTTTGCTTCCCCTCTTATTAACGATTTTCAATAATTTGATGTTTCCTTTGATGTATCTGATAAGTACTGTGCACGAACATGATAAATTATTATTTTGTGTAATGAATATTATGACCTGTTTCGAAATACTTTTCTACTGAATTCTTACAAGAATGCTCATGATTTTGCAGTCTCAAATCAGTCTTGTTTCCAAGTACGACAATTTTAATGATTAATTTAAGCTCTTTTAATAAATGTACTGACATAGTTATGAGATTTTTTTTGTAGGTAATGAAACAAAAATGTTGACTACAAGAATTGTGTGTACTAACACTGTAATTTGGTCTGGTAGAGTTTTTCAGTGTAATAATAATAAAGCATTGAACAGTAAACACTTTTAATAATGTAGTCCTTCATGACCAAAAGCGCAATTACCCTGAAGTTAAGGTATCGATAATTCAATATGACGACAGAAATAACTCAACTTTTACATCCTACCGCATTACTGTAAAGTCAAATAATTGAACCTGTTTATTCATGTGATTATTTTGTGTAATATGACACTTCTCATAGATAAAGCAAACAGTACTGATTTATGGTGAAACATGTTGTCTGCTTGTGTATTAATCACTATCAGTGGTCTGTCAATGTATCATGTGAGTCTTGAGTAATTATTTAAATACCCTATGGGAATGTAATTGCTGTGAACTGTGTATACAGTGAAAGGTGATTAAAGCTGTCAACCCCCCACCCCTTACTGGGCCTGAGGGTGTTGAGTGTGTATTATATTGGTTCTGCTTCAATTACCACAGGAGAGAAGTTAATTATTCCTAACTACTTTACCTATGCTTGTTCTTTACAGGTTTAAATTACATTTGGTTTTATCTAAGGTTCTCCAGTTTGTCATTGTTAAAACACTTCTGAATGAAAATTATTTAAAAAATTGGAGAGATTCCAAAGCAAGTTCATCTCGAGGCCATTATTATATTATGTATAGAGATACCTCCCTTGGAGCAATATTTACTGTTATTACCGTCTAACCTACATATTTGTCTTAAGAGCTTAAGAACTTTTAATCACGGGTTACCTGTTGAAACTGGCTTATTGTTAAATGTTATTAAAAGAAGAGAGAAAATATACATTGTGAAGGAATGCAATTGGTGATAAAATGCATTTGTTTTTGTTTGATGTCCCAATTTGTTATATGTTTAATTGTTAAAAATCTGTTGTTACTGCTTCCTACTGTATTTGTCCCATTTTAAATATTGTCCTATGGATTCCAATGCTGCTTGACTTGCTTACTATGATTCTTTGTCTATTTGCACCATACCTCTGTACTCTAGGCTTTTGGCAGTGGGGTAAACATCTTACTCTTAGGTTTGCATTTGGGTTTTCTGCCCTCATTAACTGGCACACCTTAGTGGACCCCCAATAATTACTTTTAAGGGTCCTTGCAAGCAATATGAGGGTCCTATAAAGTAATGATATGGTGTTGTGTAGGTACATCTTGATAATTACTTTAGAGCCTGGAATGAATCAATGAGCATGTGGACAGTGGTCATTATTGATGGATGAAATAACAGACACATCACTGCTCTTGATGCACTGTAGGTACAATGAATATTATTGTGCATCCTCCAGGATGCAGTATATATTTTTTCTGCATGTATCATGTGTCCATGAAGACAGGGTTGATTGATAAGTTTTAAATTTATTTTTTCTTTCAATACAACTTTTTGGTATAGGTGCTAAGACCTTTTTCAAGAAAGATATTGAAACGTCGCATTGAATAAATATAGACCTCCATAAATCAACCCTATTTTCATTGATCAGCATGGGAAATTGGCACTAGTCCTGCAGTCCTTGTCAAACTGCCCAATAGTTAAGGTATTATAAGGACTACTAGAAATTTGCCCCTTTTAAATGATTTACTATATGTTATCATTATGAGGACTAGTGGACTAAAAACTGTTAGATTCTATCACTGTTGGTACTACAGCTCCTAAATACCACTTTAAGATATTATTGTTTATCCTTTACTTTCATTACAGGGAAGTTGTCGAAATAATGGAAAAAAAATCTTCTTCTTTTCTTTCAATGTGGCATTTTGGTATAGCTGAGACATTTTTCAAGCAAAATACTGAAAAGTTGCATGGATTAACAAGGACATCCATAAGTCAACCCCATATTCATTGATACTACAACTTCTTAAAGCCACTTTGAGATATTATAGTTTATCCTTTACTTTCATTGCAGTATATGTTCCGTGATCAGCGTTAAAAATTGGCACTAGTCCTATAGTCCTTGCCAAACTGCCCAATAGTAATGGTATCATTTTTGAAGGGATTTACTCTGTGCAGTATCATTATATTATTGATACTAAAGCTTCTAAATACCGCTTTGAGATATTATAGTTTATCTTTTATTTTCATTGCAGAGAAGTTGTCGAAATGATGGAAAAAAAAATCCGACTGAAGACAGTCAATGAACACATCACATGTAGTTTGTGCAGGGGGTATCTGATTGATGCTACGACAATCACAGAATGTCTTCACACATGTAAGTATGTCGTCCAATCACTTGCGGTTTTTTTAAGAAATAAACAATGAGTGGTTTATTCTCCCTGCAGTGTTATATTGTAGGATGACCATGAGTCGTTTATTTCTTATATGAGATATCAACATTATGTACAGCCTCTTTAGGGATGATGATAAATTGTACAAGCTTTGAAAGTATTAACCCCTACTTAAATAATGATGACTCCCTCAAAAGAATCCGACCTCCGCAGCGTCGGACAAGTCCATTTTATGCACAGGTGGGTATTTCCCACAAATTTTCACAATCCTCATGTCAATTACCTGTACCTTTTCTCCCAGTACCGATTGTCATATCTACCTGCTTTTGGATGCGATCATTCGGCCATCACATTTATCTGCATTGCCCTGCTACATTTATGGGAAACAACTCACTAGACACTCCCTCTCAAAAATAACATTGTCAAACATACGACATCATCAAGTTGTGAGCGCATGTGTGAATCTCCAGAAATGACGTCATGATAGACAATGTTTTATCGTGAAATAAACCACACTTTGTTCTTCATTGTTCTTTGCGATTTATCACATAGGTATCTTATATTTACAAGTAATTAAATGTAAGATCCCATTATGACATGTTGTAAACAGTTAACACTGTGGGGACATTGCTGCATAATTGGAAGTACATGTATGCATCTAATGTACATGTTATGCATGTACAGATTGAAACACGTGAAGATTTGGGTTAGAATAGGTCTTCAGCAACCCATGCTTACTGTAAAAGGTGATAGTGCTTGTTGTAAGAGGCGTCTAACGGGATCGGGTGGTCAGGCTCGCTGACTTGGTTGATGCGTGTCATCGTATCCCAATTACGGTTGAATTGATGCATATGAAATCAATCTCTGGATTTTCTGGTCCAGAATGTGTTTACAGACTGCTTTAATATTGCAGGAATATTGCTGAGTGCGGCGTTAAACAACCAACCAATCTGTGACTGGTTTACCTTGTTTGGACAGTAATACTGCTGACACAAGTTACTCACTCACATGTAAACTTAGTATTTTGACTTCTTTTTGAAAGTTCAATGTCAATGACCACAGAAAAAGATTTGTCTCCATGGCTGTCATAACGTAAATGTGATTGTTTCAGTTTGCAAGAGCTGCCTGGTGCGGTACCTGGAGGAGAACAACACCTGCCCAGACTGCAGGCTTGTCATCCACCAGAGCTATCCACTCAACTACATCAGGTACATATGGGCATTTATGTCTCGTATTCTCGTATGCAGTAGTTGTGTAATGATACCACTTCACGGTCTGGTATCCCGATACGAGGCCCACGATACAACACAGCAATTTACAACCCCTGTATCACAATTTCATTACATTACAAGTTATATTGGTGTTAAACATGAATAATAACAGACTCAACATGCTAAATGAAACAAAGACATATTCTTAAGTATTTCCATTCACAGTGCTCTCTAGCCTATATGTTTCTGCCATACAATATCCCATCTTCGATTTCTGAAATTTATAAACAGATGATTCAGGGTTGTTGTTTGCGTACTGTAGGACTTAGGATACGAATCATATCTCACCCATAGTATCTGGATATGTATCAGGTCGCGTCCACCATGTATCGTTACACCTCTAGTATCGTTACACCTTATGAGACACCTGTTTTAGAACAGCCATATTGATAGTGATTTGTTGTGAGAGGTATGATGTCATCATGCCGATGTAACAGTGCACCTGTTAACATTGGGCTCATGTGAAGTACTGTACACTTGTAAGAACAGTCTGTCATACTTTCAGAATTTTGTTGCCCCTGTCATAATGAAAAGGAAGAGTGAAATAGTGTACACTATAAATTGACAAACATTCAGATTTTGCGAATAGGTTTCAAAGTTTCATTACAGTTTGAGTTAAAACCTGCAAGAATCGCGTCAAGAACTATGCGCCAAAACACGTCTGCTCATGCATGCAACAGCAAGGGTATTAGAGTTGGGTTCATTGGCCTGGATATAATATCATTGGATTTTTCAGACATATATGATGGGGATTCGACTAGCAACATGAATACGATTCTGTTGGCTAAACTCACATTCAGCTGATACACTGCTGACTGGAACAGTTAAGACTATGGCTGCTAAAACAGCGAAGTCTGGGTTTGCTCTAAACCTGTAGTAATATGCCCAGCGACAGTAGTTTTGAAACTACTTAAACAACCCTTAGCAGTGGTTATCTCTGTGATGTGATTATCTTGTCAACTAATCGCAGATAGCCTCTTTTGACCCACCATTTTAACATATATGTCAAGTATGCATTCGGAAAATCTCACTTCTTTACGACAGTGAATATGAAGTTGGTCATAAAGATCACTACAGAAAATTGACACGCCAACTTTTGAAACAGAGTGGTTTAATGTTTACAGAGGTTCACACGATATGATGTGCATTTTTCAATGAAAATTTCTACCAGAGACAGGTAACATCATCCCTCAAATGTACCAGTCCCAGACATATTTTACCGGTCAATATCCGGTATATTCTGGAGAACGGAAACACTTGTTACACATATTAGACACTGTTGAGTTATGACTCACACTATTAACCACTGGCTTGTCTGGTACTTGTACAACTACGTTACACATATTACACACAGCTGTCACAGTTCTACTGGAGATCATTTAATGCTCGACCTGACACGGTTTAACAATCCTCCTTAGATTTCATCAAACAAAGAATGTGTTTGAATTTCAGCTTCGACAGAACAATGCAGGACATTGTGTACAAGCTGGTCCCAAACCTTCAAGAGAGTGAGTTCACATGATTTGAATTTTAACACCTGTGTATTTTTTGTTTCATATTTACATTGTTAATACTGGACATTCTGCTCCATTTGGTGATCATGTGACAAAGGACACACTAAAGAACATCATCGATAGGTGTTTCATGGTATATATGACGTCTACATCCTGATTACCAGCTGGTTACTGACAGAGAATGGGCGTCAAGCAGGGTGATGGAGACCATTTTGTAAGGATAGTGTGTCATGTCACATGATCAGCAACAGTTACAATCATGGAAGGTCTGCAGACCAGAATATGGCCTATTGTAAGAATGTCAAGAAACTGCCTCTGTGATCATACATTATGTCTTATAAATGCGAGGGGCACGAGTGGCCCATTCGTCTAAGGCACCACGATTCGCTGAGTTGCATCCCTTTGATACGCCAGAAACCTATGATTGTGGATTCGAATCCTGGTTCGCCCCGATTATGTTTCTAGGTGTGTCAGCACCATGCCCGTGCTTGTGGGTTTTACTGAAGTGGAAAATGTCTGAGACCTGCATCACTTTGGGCTTTCCTCCCACATTAAGTTGACTCACCGTGATATAACTGGAATACTGTTTAAAGCGGCGTAAACCCAACTCACTCACTCACTCTTATTAATGCAACAATGGTTTGTTTATGATAACAAAGCATTGGAATATATTTGCTTTATCTGTTCCGATCTATTTTTATAGTTATATGATAAATACATGAAGTTTAGTTTTAGAGAGTACTGTTAATAGACACTTTCATATTGAGATATCTTTGACATAGAAATGACATGTTCTCATCATCGTGCTTGTTGCATGCAAATACTTGCCACACTTAATCATGATAATAATCAAATAGACCAAAGGGAGGCATCGGCACAAATTTTGAAAGTCGTTGCATTGGAGTCATTTGTTTTATATTTTCAGCATTGTATGTGTCTCAGGGAGTTGAGGAGTATTGATTGGTTTGGTTGCTTTTCAGAGGAGATGAAAAGACAGAACGACTTCTACAAGAAGATGGGAAAGGCTCCTCCCAACTCTACACCAGGTAATCCATCTTTCAGAACTGAAGCAAAAGAGAAAAATACATTTTCCCCCTCTGAATTGATGTTCTATAGATACAATCAGGGTACCTGTGAAGATCCGGGTTAGAATTGGTCTTCAGCAACCCATGCTTGTTGTAAGATGCGACTGACGGGATCAGGTGGTCAGGCTCGTTGGCTTGGTTGATGCTTGTCATCGGATACAAATTGCGTGAATCAGTGCTCATGATGTCAATCACAGGATTGTCTGGTCAAGACTTGATTATTTACAGACCGCTGTCATATAGCTGAAATATTGCTGAGTGCGGCGTTAAACAACAAACAAACAAACAAACAATCAGGGGTTTATCGGAAATAAGATCCTGCTTCCTTAACTTCAGGAAAACATAAAAGACTTATGCATAATTCTATGGATGTTCTGCGGGTACAATTCTTCCAAATAATGAAATCCTTTGGGGATTCTGGGTGAGAATAGGTCCCCAGTATCCCATGCTTTTCGTATGAGCCAACTTGTCAACTAGGCCACTCACTCACTCACTCACTCTCACTCAACCACTCACTCAATACACTCAACCATTCAACCACTCACTCAACCACTTTCTCAGTCATTCACTCAACCACTCTCTCACTCAACCACTCACTCAATACACTCAACCATTCAACCACTCATTCAACCACTCACTCATTCAACCACCCACTCACATCTTGTTTTCAAAACTTCCAGTAGGAAATTGTGAAGAAAACCAAGAACCTGAGAAGAGTCAGACCCTGCCTCCACCGGACGAGGACCAGGACTGTCACCGTAGCGACGAGCAGGTCAACATCTGCCTGGAGTGTAAGGGCAACCACATGAAGAACCTCAAGAGGAAGTACATCCGCATCTCATCCCAGGCTACCATCACTCATCTCAAGAAGTTCATCGCGCTCAAAGTCTACCATGCACGGGAGAGATACAAGGATGTGAGTTGATATTTCCGTCCCCCTGTTCACCCTGTCTGATGGTTAGAGGGCAATCCAAGTGAATTTGTTTATTGCAATTTTGTTGCGAAAACCAATTGTCCCAGATATATAAAGTAAAAAAAGTATAATATTTGTAGAAAGTATTTTAATGTCCAAGTAAAAGTGATGAAATCACACGCTCCTTTATTGGATTCCAAAAATAGACTATTTGGGGGAGTTGCCAAAGCTACCAGTGCAGCGCTGCATAACTAATGTTTTCATTTGCTGATATATGGCCAAGCAGATACAAAGCCGTCAATGTCAAAGTGTTGCTCTTTCTGTTAATCCTACAAAAATAACATTGCTTGTGTTGTTGAGTGTAAAACAACCTTTGATCTTGACATTGTGATTAATTGAAATAACTTTATACAGAGCTCCAGTTAAGCTTTTGGTGTTGTGGGTATTTTACCCATGCATTTTAAAATCATTGGGTATCAGTAATTCTATCTGGGTATTCAAATTTCTGTTACCCACTAGTTTTTACACATGTGGGTATTTAAGTTAAATATTTAAAAACTCCATTCATCTAGTCCCTGCAAACTGGTGTCGTGTGGGTTCGAGAGCTTTATAGGACTAAAAATTACCACGATACTTCCACAAGAAAGTGTGATGGCAAATGATCATGATGTAACTGTCATCGTGGGGTTTGGCAAGGTTGACGGAATGCTCGTTTATAATTTCAAAATAAGTTGCTGATTTGCGAATCGAATATGCAGGGTTACTTCACAATATTTTGATGATACACACAAGTTTTATTTTTGTAACGTATCTGTAATGTTCGTTGCGTATTTGATACACTTGGATTTTATTTTACTGCATATTTCTGCATTTCTGATGCGTATTTTACGCAGATACACAGCTTATCTGAAGCTCTGTTTATATCTGTAACAAGCTTTTTATCACTAACAATGGTGAGTTTGTACTTGTCCAGCAGCTGTCCAAAGGATAATCCCCATGGTGTTTGTTTAAGCATACATTCAGCATTTGTTCACATTAAAATATAAACAATTGATAAAAAGAATGAGCACTGTATTAAATATTGTCTTATTTGTTTAATGTCACATTGAACAATTCCATTTACATAATTCACAGTCCAGATGTGAAACAGCATTGTGATAATCGTTCACTGGTTTCTGGTTGGCAAGATGTTGTCTCTTCTCCTCTCATGGGCATAGTCTAGGTTTCAATTCTTCTTCTTGGGTGGCATCGAACTACCTGGATTCTGATCCCAGTAGTATGCTGCACAACCTGCAGCATCTCAATGAATTTGTACATATTTGGATGCCACCCCTTGAGATGTGGCGTCGTCTCACTGCCCAGAGACATATAATTGTGCTTCATGACAAAGTCCTGAACTTGTATCTGGCAAAAAACAAGTGTGGATCCCTCTTAGAATTGGGAATAAAGTGTAAACCTGCGCATTTGTCACAGTGGAATAGTTTCTTGTCTGTAATTCCTTTTATAGCCCAAATTGTACTGAATGGTTAATATGTTCACTCACTCATTGATATATTTGGCGAAGAAAAATAAAAGTCTTAGTTCTCAGGCACCACCTGCATCATCATAAAGTTTTGTTTTTATTTCCATTTTGAAAACAATATAAAAATCCTAATACTTGAACACAAAATGCAAACAAAAACGAAACGTGCAATGAACTTTATGATGATGTTGGCAGTGCCTGAGTACCAAGGCCATTATTATTTTTTTTAGCCTTTTAAACGTTTTCACTCAGTACAGTGTATGTGAATTGAGTTCACAAATTAGTTGTGTCATTATGTTTTTGTGAGATATTCACCATTACTTGTCTTATATGAGAGGCCCCCCTTCATCCCCTATTGTCTTAACCATCTGTGCTCGGGTGAATTTGTACTTATAACTTTAGGTGCAGGTCAAGTTGAAAGATCCCCCTTGAACCAACAGGCACACTGCATGGACACCACCCTCCCCTTACTGAAGGATAATTTTTGTTCGGGGGACAATTTCGCATGTTGTTTGTTTTTAACATTATTTCCGATTTTCAAATGTAACTTTGGTCAAGCATTTGTAATTATGTATGCCATAAAGTATTAAGGTCTGCCAAGTTGCTATGTTGACTTTACTTGCCCTTAAAAGGGGCGGTGGTTAAAGCATTCGCTTGTCACACCAAAGCTTAGGTTTGATTCCCCTATTTTGAGTTACATGGAAAATAGTTTGACACTGATGATTGTTCCATTGATTGCAGGTTGATATATTGTGCAATGAAGAATTACTTGGAAAAGATCACACGTTAAAATTTGTATCGGTCACGAGATGGAGATCAAAAGTAAGTAGACACCATTTATTACACACTGTTCTCTTCTTGTACTTGGGGAGCGGTTTGGTAGCCTAGTGGTTTAAGCGTTCGCTCATCACGCCGAAGACGTGGGTTCGATTCCCGACATGGGTACAATGTGTGAAGCCCATTTCTGGTGTCCCCTGCCGTGATATTGCTGGAATATTGCTAAAAGCGGCGTAAAACCATACTCACTCATTCACTCACTCACTCTTGTACTGGTCCTTTAGACAACTACATGTGTGTGGCTTTATCCACACCAGGAAGTGAGTACCTAAAATAGGTCTTCAGCAACCCATGCTTGCCGTAAAAGGCGACTATGCTTGTCGTAAGAGGCAACTAACGGGATCAGGTGGTCAGGCTCGCTGACTTGGTTGAAGCATGTCATCGATCCCAATGTGTCGATCGATGCTTATGATATCAATTACTGGATTGTCTGGTCCAAACTCGATTATTTACAGACCGCCGTCATATGGTTGGAATATTGCTGAGTGCGGCGTTAAACAACGAACCAACCAACCAATCTAAATTTGCTATTCAGAGTTGTGGCTCGTAGGTGTGCCTATATTGAAGCATGTCAACATACCTTGATAAAGTGTATTTTTGCTCATGATATCAACACTTGGTTGTTGAGTCCAGGCTTGTTTATTTTCCGTCATAAGGCTGAAATATTGTTGAGTGGCGTAGAACAAACCTCATTTATTCACAAATTTTCAGGATGTTATTTCTTTGAAAGTGTGTCAGTGTACCTCAATGAAGTGGATTGTAGCTCATTGTGATGATGATATCATCACTGATTCGTCTGGTCCAAGCTAGTTTGTTTACAGGCTGCCACCGTTTAGCTGAAGGATTGCTGAGTGTGGCGTTAAACAACCAAAGGTCATGTATTCACAAAGTGTCAGGTTGTGACGTGTTTGTTGCAGGATGCCCCCCTCACTCTACACTACCGACAGAGAATGACTGAGTTATGACTATGTGACTGGGAGGAACGGCCTCACGTTTGACCTGCAGCGAACTCGGCGGCTGATCCTACAAACTGGGGTGTTTCTTCCAGCGTTGCAAAGACTATAGCTTTATCACATCACCTCCTGACTCACTAACCAAAGCCAGGTGGCTCGGAGGAGGAGCGCAGCCTCACTGGTCCTCATGTTCCCCTGATTCAACCATCAACTCACAACTGACGAGGAGATTCATGGAAAATAACATTGGATTAACTCTCTGGATTGTGAGGGATAGACAATGTGCTTGCTCAGCATTCAGGTGACCCAGAATGCTTGGAAGGATGTGATTTGTGAAGCCATTTTTTTTATGCCCGACTGTCTTATTAATGAAAAGCTGCTGAGCTGGATAAAATTATCTCTTCCCACCGTATCTCTGATCAAGGAAGGATTTATGACTATTGGCATTAAAAAAATAAGTTTTAGTGTACTATGGCATCAACATTCTTGACTAATCCAGAAGTGTATTGTCAAAGATATCTCCCTTGATTTAGATCAGAATTGAAGTGGAGTGCTCTCCCCTTGATCCATAAAACCTGACGATTCCGATCGGTGAGTGCATCCACAAGAATCCGCAGTCATAGTGGTTGTTCATCCGGGTTCAGCAGTTGTTAACCCTTCTAATGTCAAATATCCAGAAAATGTTTTATATTTCTCCTGCTTTCTGGGCACAGAAGGATCATAAGTGAACATGATCGTAAGTGAACACAATGAACATGGAAGAGTTCAGGGGATCATATTGGCCTTTGTGGCTGTTTCATTTAACCATGACAGTATCACTGTTGACTATTCCATAAAGACGTGTACCTGGCAGATACGGACATCAGTGGTTGCTGGATGCTGATCACTGGATCGTGTGGCCTACATGGTGACAACATGTTGATTGATTGTGATCTCGTGATATGGTGGCCAAATAATGAGGAGCAAACAGAACCAAAACGAATCAGTGAATATTGTGCCAGTGTAGATAGATGTATTGACATTGTTAGCTCAGACTTGGTATTTCTGTGAGAGTGACTGTCTGTTCACGGCCAGGGAAGGACCACACTGTGTAAGAAAGAACCTTGTTTAAACATATCCTGCTATACTGGACACCACATGATGATCAACGGGCTAAAGAGAATTCTACGTTCTTCATCTTAAATCAAAATTTTCCACATACAAACATTTCTGCATGCTAAACAGAAAATTAACCCACAGGCACTTATCATTAACTCAATGCCTTAGAAGTAATTTTGTTTGTGCCCAAATTTGCATAACAGACTGGTTTTAAGAAACTAGTGCTGTTTTCACAGAACAATCATAGTGCTAAGAGGATCGTAACTCCCAATTTATTAACATAGACTTATGACATTCATAACGCAAAGATGATCATAACTCCCATACTTTATCACATACTTATGACAATCATAGCGCTAAGATGATCAAAACTCCCATTCTTTGTCACAGACTTATGACAATCATAGCGCTAAGATGATCATAACTCCCATTCTTTGTCACAGACTTATGACAATCATAGCGCTAAGATGATCATAAGTCCCATTCTTTAAGGTGGATCTTTACAAAACAGCCGATCCATGCAGATTATCAAGGTTCTTTTCCAGGTGGGTTGGGTTTACACAGCTGATGGCACATAAAGGAATTAACCAGTGTCATCATGTTCTTGGTAACAGAGTTGGCACATTACAAAAGGCTATGGAAGTACTGTTACCGCTGTGGTGTTAGCAGCTAGTGTGGTGGTGTTCTGTGGAAGCCGACCGACCAGAGGCACCAAGAGTCTATCTCTGTCAAAGGAGTCCTATCACACAGATACAGAAATGATGGACCAGGAGGTGGTCCTGAACGCTGTGCCACTTCACAGCATGTTAAAAAACATAAGTCAGCATGACCTCCAACCAGCTGGGTGACACAAGTGGAGAAACGAGACTTGTAGGTCCTTAAAGGAAACCAGTGTTGTAAAACAATCCAAGTGATATCCCATATCTACGCTCAACCATTGCCAAGACAGTCGAACACATAGTCCTCAATCAAGAGACACTCATTAGTCATATATCATTGTATATGTGGCATATCTATTCACCAAGTCAACCAGTAGATTCTGTTTTCAGGACTTGTCTATGTCATGTATTCATGTACAGTTTACATTTTGTTCATTACTTCTCCATGTTAAACTGGCCATAGCCAATGGCCAGGACCTGGTTGTATCAAACCTTTGTTCACTGATGGTTCATTGCCTTCTTATTGTTTCATGAGTTAATGTTGGCATTAAAATGGGTTGGACAAGGGTGGCATTAAACTTATCATTAACTAAGTATGAAGATTTCATTAAAGTATAAGTTAAATATTGTATTCTTTCCTTATGTTCCGACAATTCCTTTTAAGCAAATAAACACTTTCTCCTTTATATCTGTGAGAATAGGTCTTCAGCAAAAGGCCGTAAAAGGCAACTACACTTTTCGTAAGAGGTGACTAATGGGATCGGGTGGTCAGGCTCGCTGACTTGGTTGATGCATGGCATCATATCCCATTTGCAGGGATCGATGCTCATGATATCAATCACTGGATTGTCTGGTTCAGACTTGATTATTTACAGACCGCCATCATATAGCTGGAATATTGCTGAATGCGGCATTAAACAAGAAACAATCAATCCTATCTGCGAAAGTTTGGTAAGACGTAATAGCCAAATGCATCTTTTCTGATGTTCATTTTGTGATGTACTTTGTGTCTTGAGGTTTCTTTCTTCTTATTTTTTCATTTTTTTTTTTTTTTTAAAAGAAGTTACTGTCACTCTAGTAATACAAACATACTGCATATTTCAAGTGTGCATAAACTATTAAAGTTTATATATCATATATTGCAGTGCAGGAAAGTACATGGTCTCAAACATTAAAATCTTAAGTACCATATATTGCAGTGCAGGTAAGTACATGGTCTCAAACATTAAAGTCTTAAGTACAAAACTAAAATTAAAATGAAAGCTACTCATTTTCGAAAAGTTTATGATAGAGCATCCAAGCACCATAGAATTTTTGCTGATTACCTGTCTTGAAAGCAATATCTTTTTCAATGTTGTATTGTGAAAAAAGCTTCCTTTTTATAAACATGAAAAAAAGGTTTTGTATTTTGGAATTTGCATCTAATAATATAGAATTTTAAGTAAAAGTAAATCGAACACTTTCTGTTTTTTATGTTCTCTTTAACTCCAAAAAGTATCATTTCTGCACAAAATGTCATATTATGAACAGTGTCTTGAGGTTTCAATGCAAAACGCAAAGTTTTGTATCGGACGCCTGCATTTTATCAGTGTATTGGCACGTATTGGGCATGTTAATATACGGATGGGGTCATTAAGAGTTTGATCCAACCAGGTTTAATGGCACATTAGTTAGTAGAGGATTGATGACAAGTTGACATGTCATTGAAGTTTGATACAACTAGGTCTTGGTTGTTATCCTGAAAACATCATTCGATCATAGCAACCCTAATTCAACCATTATTGGCAGCCTCTAAACAATGCAAACAGATAGGTAAGATTGTTCATGTAGTTGTATGTACTGTTTGACGACACTGATGAATTGTCTGTGGCATTAATTATTGTTGCACTTATTTACTTATTTATGGGGTAGATAACAGTGTCTAGTTTATAGTAGTGTCAGGCAATATATTCTTTTTACACCAGGAATAGAGGGCACAGGTGGCTCAGTTGTCTGTCGCTGTCCAGAGTTGCGTCCCCTGGGTATACCTGTAACCTATTATTGTGGGTTTGAATCCCAGTTTGCCCTGATTATGTTTCTAGGTCTGTCAGCAACATACCTGTGCTCGGTGGTTTCACCAAAATGGTAAACATCTGAGGCCTACATCACTTCAGGGTTTCCTCCCACATTAAGCTGATTGGCAGTGATATAACTAATTGTAATTATTGGGTAGTTAATCTAGTTTGTCAGGTTTTCTACAAATAACATAGCTTGATTTTCTCCATCGTCTTAAAACATATTGCTAGTATGGGTGAAACGATATGTCTATGACCATGGTACATCGTTAGGTTTCATGCGACAATACGATACATAATGTGTATTTTTCTGTATTGATACTAGACGATACACTTGCTAAAATACGTCATGTACTACTCTTGTAGTGACCCCCCAGTGTTTTCGGCGGTCAAAAATTGCAAAATGTAGTGTAATTAGTGTAAGCATTTCAACTTCACTGTGTCCACAGCTAGCTGTTCTTTTTTAACCTGCTCTGAAATATTGTAGTCAAGAAGTTTCCAAGCAGTTTGACGTGAATATGCGTATCGTGATATGTATTGTATCGTGGCCTTGCTGTATCGTTTCACCCCTAGTTGCTAGCTGACACTGTTAAAGGCATCATATCAACTCAACCAACATGATTATGAATTTGACTGTTCTTATTTGCATTTACATTTAAAGTCCACTACTGATTGACATTTGTAATGCAAGTGCAATTTGGTTTAGCATTATTTCGTTTCTCCAGCTGATTGTCTTTACTCCGTATTTTATTTATTTATATGCATATAATCAGAGGAAATCTGAAAGTGCTTTCCCAGTAGTGTCAATCTAGAACAGCATTGAACTGAGGATGTGGTTGGTCGGGCCCAAAACAAAAATATGTGTATTTCCCGTTTCCAGGTCAACTGTCATCTGGATGAGGATCATCTCTTTTCTCGAGTGGCGCCATAGCTTTTATCAGCATCCCTATATTGTCTTGAGTTAATGCAACGAGAGTAATTTTGGGCGTTTCACTATAGATAAGATAGTCATTTTCTTAATTTCAAAACAGGCTTTATCTGACATAGTGCAAATTATTTATCTTTTTCAAAGGAAAAGTAAAATGTAAACCTTACCTCCTACCCTGTTTTTGGTGTCGCTGAAATAGGAAACACATATGTTTTTTTGGCCTGATGATAATTTATTGCAGTTGCTATGATATTTGTGTTCATAACTTATAACACTCCAACCTGTCGTAGCTAGGTATTATGCCCCACATAACATGGGTTTTATTTTATTTTTAAACATAATGGGCCTTTGTGTCTATATAAGTATCTGGATGGATCAGAACAGACTACTTAGAGTAGGTTAATTTCCTTACAATTACTTTGTGTTTAATAATAGAAGGACTAGCGATTGCCAAAAGTGTAGACTATTTCAGTTGCCAATATTCCAAATTTGTGATGATTGTTAACTGTTATGATTGTAGTTATTTTACCTTGAATACTTATACAGTCTCATAGAACTTAGATGTGATATGTCTCTGTGTAAAGGTATGTCAAATCTACAGTAGAAAGTCAAGTTGGGGGAACTTTCTAGTCAGCATGGAGGTGTCTGAATTTGGCTGAAAACCCCATGCTTATTTCATTATGATTGAATGTTCGACTAGGCCCAGGCTGCACCATGCAGTACCTCCTATAAAGTATGCATGAGAATTTTCCTCAATTTTTACATGTAAATCCAGGATTTTTCCTCTCAGAATGATGTAAAATTCACTTATTTTAATCCTTGTTTTTAATAATTTCGGCGGGGGGGGGGGGGGGGGGGGGGGGGGTGGAGGAGGTCATGCAACCAAACTCCCTAGATTCACGATGTCCCACCAAAAACAAATTTTGCTGTTCTCATGTCTGGTAAAGAGTCTTCAGAACTAGTTAGAATGAGGTATAGGTTTGAAGTTAAGGTTATGATTTTAATGAGATTGAATGCTTACCATTTTTGTTTTCTTTTTGTTGGCAGATGCTAACTGGTCTGAATCTTCTCAAACCTGTTATGTGTGGCATTGTTCATTGTACACTTGAATCACAGTTCATCCATTCATATAACATGTAGTACCTGATACCATGTTATGTGTCACTTTGTATATTTATACCATCACAAAGCTGCTGTATATATAGAAATACATCCTCATTATTCTCACAGGCAACAATCTCAATCTTCCATGTAAAGTCTATCAGTGGTCATCCACAAAAGCACCATGCCACAATAGCTCTGGACTGTATGATAAATCTTTGTTGCAAGACAAACAATACAATCTTGGACAATGACTTGAAAAAATAAATTGTAAGTGGAAAAATGTTTAATTTTTGCCCAGACCAATTTTTTCTTGTTTTAAGCTTTCTCTGTCAATATGATCAATAGCCTTGTGGTTGAAGTGTTGGCTCTTCATACACAGGTTCAGGGGGCGGTTGGGTAGCCTAGTGGTTAAAGCGTTCGCTCGTCACGCCGAAGACCCGGGTTCGATTCCCGACATGAGTAAAATGTGGGAAGCCCATTTCTGGTGTCCCCAGATATTGCTGGAATACTGCTTAAAGCGGGGTAAATCATACTCACTCACTCACTCATACACAGGTTCAATTCCACACAAGAGTCGCTGTGCAAGGTATTCCCAATATTCCTAACGGTCAAACCATCTCGAACTCATCATACTTATTATCGCCATGACCTAGCCATCAGCCACTACCTCCCTGGTTGAAGATGTTTCACTGAATCAGTTGCAGAGGCCATATTGTGTTTAGGCCATTATGCTGGTTACAAACCCTAACTTGTGCTAAGTTGTGTGTTTCAAACTTCCCCCGCCAGGTTACATGACCCATCTAATAGTGAGAAATATAGTAAGAGTTAGCGAGGACTGGACTAGGATTTTCACATATCCTGCATCGCTTCAGGCTTTCCTCCCGCATTAAGCTGACACACCGCAATATAACTGGAGTACTGTTAAAAGCGGCGTTAAATCAAACTCACTCACTCACTCCAAGTTCTAATAGTGATAAATATAGTAAGAGTTAGCGAGGACTGGACTATGATTTAAACACCTCCAATTTTGAGACAACAGGACTGTATCTAAGTTCAGGATAATACGTGACATGGAAACCTGCTTGTTAAGGTTAAAAAATAATAATACGGTAGTCTGGGTTCTCAGGCACTGCCCGCATCATCAGAAAGTCGGAGGCACGTTTTGATTTATTTCCATTTTACAAAAAGTAATTTAAAATCCTAATACTTACTAACAATACTTCCCTTCACATGCGGACTGCTTTACTACGCATCTCGTGTTAAGGTAATGGTGGCAATAAGAGTTTGTATGCTTGTTTATGTTGGTAGGCCCTTTCCCAGGTTGATGGTACACAACTATTTATTTGATTACGTACTAGTTTGAATAACAAAAAACAAAAACAAAAACACTGCCCATGCGCACTATATTTTCAAAAGTCATTGCCTGAGAACCAATTCTTTTATTTGTTTAAGCCGACCTGATACATTGAGACACAAGATATGACAAACGCAGTATGGATCTCTGCCTTTAATGCTCTGATGAAGGTTAAGCAGTCTGTGACGTTAGCAACTAGTCCAAAGCCCAAGTCTAGTAAAATTCTGCTCGGTCTGATAAGATAAGCTAATGCCATATGATAATCTTTAAAATGAACTGAAAATGATGTCAAGGGCCATGTTTGTGGACAAAAGGTTTTGGCACAAACTGTTAAGAAATAGCTCTCAAATATTATGTAAGGATTACAGAAGCTGAATTCCATATGCCTCTATGAAGCACCAACTTCAAAATGTCCACCACGGACCTCTACCCTGCTCCTAAAAGTGGGCTCTTAGCATTAAGGTGATCAGAACTCCCATACTTTACCATAGATTTATGTATGTTTTGAATGTATTACATTTAATTGAAGGCTGCCCTATTTCCTACACTAAGGACTCTGTCCATGCTGATCATGTTTTGTTCAAGAACCTGTGTATATGATTCTTTCTGCGTGTGGTATTTATATGAAAAATGGCATTTGAACAAATTAATACAATGATTACCTCAAAATATTTGTTCGAAGGTTTTGATAGAGGGAATTGTTGAAGTAAAATAAGTGTTAAGCAAAGTTTGAAACTGGGATGTGATTGTTGCTGAATGGATTACTTTTTGACAATATTTGTCACTTTTGTTGTCATTGAAAGGACACAGGGTGGAAAATAGATTTGAAATATATCGAAACAAATTTAAGAACTTTAAGTGAATTCCAAAGATCATTAATTACCATCTAGTAATAAAATAAATTATTTAAATGCTTACTGAACATATTTTCTGAACTTGTCTCAGATCAGCTTTACTTGAAACACAAAACAAATTTCATCAAAGTTGGGTTTTTTAAACAGTTTCAAACTTAACCATGAACCGTTGTTAGGAAAGTGTTACACTATTTCCTCTGAGATTGATTATGTCCAAGAGATCAAGCAGATGATTTTGATACTGCGGAACTGCTGCAAATACAGCCAGGTACCATTTACATAGGACATGTTCCAACGAACGATACTGACAACCTTTTAATAGGTTGTGGTCTCGTGCCATGACCCTTGCGTGAGTGATTGT